CACTTGAGCACACGACTGTCAACCGCGGCTCGTGCCCCTTCCCGCTGATGGTGAAGGTCAGGATTTGGGGTTCAATTCCCACAGAGCTGCAGGAGAGGCACAGAAACAATTTCAGCTGGCACTAGCCCACTTCTCACTGGGCAAGCGAAGCAACAAGGGCCACCCACAGTGTTTTCCCTGCCTGGTGCTCCTGTACCCCACAACACAGCCCCCCACCAGCCTCTTCCCAATCCACTCAGGGCCATTCACAAGAGGAATCTGCTCCAAAGAGCCAGAGCCTTCCACAATAACACTTAAAAATAATTTCACTTAATTGAATTATGCAGCACAGCAGGTAAATGAGAAGGCACCAGATGAGATATGGCAAATCCCCTGGCTGCAGTGAGATGAGACTTATGCAACGAGCAAAAGCACAGCATGAAAGCAGTACAAAAGCAAGAAGGCAAATAGAAATGATTGTCACTAGCAGTAAAGATCTTTTCCAAGAACAGTAAAAAAGCAATTGCTCATTAGAAATTAGACTTCTCTTGCTCCAATTCAGCCACTAAAGGGTTGAGGAAGGGCAGGTCAAAGCCCCAGTTCACAGGTCCCAGGGCAGAGGAACTGGGCTCCTCTTTCATACCAGCTCCAAACACTCACATAAAATAGCTTAATGAATGCCAGGGGGTCACACAGGATCACTTAATTTTACAGAAACAAAGAGAAAACGTGACTGCTGACTTGCTGGCACAGAAACTGCTTCATCTAAGCCTTTGTCGTTGGAAACCCCCAGCTCAGCTGCAGCACATCTCAGTAACTTGCGGTTGGCCACCTGTAGTATTTCCCTGTCTTCACAGTTCCTCACACAGGCTAAACCATCAGCCTCATTCTCCTGCTCTAAGGGCTATTGGCTCCCAGATCATCTCATGCCAAGTACTCTGCCTAAGGCTACTGACAGCATTAGCGCTAACAAGAGGTCTGTGCCTTCCCAGGGGAGAGGCAGCTATCAGTGAGGCCTCCCCCAGTATTTCACAGGGTCAGTTACCCTTTTGGGATGACAAGGGAAGCCTTGAAAGTGCAGTTGTAGTTCTGCTCCTCTGGTGGGGTGAAGGTCACCGTAGCAATGGCATAGGATGAGCCGGGAATGGACATCTTGACTGGATACAACTTGAAAATGTTTTCGATAGGGCTTTTTTCCTTGAGGGAACCCAGAGAGCAGTGTTAGGAGGAAACACCTTTCAACATGACGCAGTTTTATCCATAAATGCATTAATGAGAGCAGTCCCAGACACTGTGTCTTCCTTCCTGCTTCCCTGGGCAGGCTCCCTCCCTCCCAGGGAATGCCGACTTTGTGCTGAAGCACTGTGTGTTTTGAGGGCTGGCAGCTGCCCCAGCCTATCTGGGAGGTGGGCATTGCATGGAAAACCCTGCAAATGACCTAGAACTGGCCTTCAAGGAAAAGGAAAAGCCAGGGAGCCTGAGAAAATGCTCTGCTTGGAGTTCTGGCATGTCAATTCATAACTGAGAAAATGCTCTTCTTTGAGCCCTGGCATGTCAGGTCATAACATCCCCTCTCTGTGTGTGCTTCCCAGAGAGGTTCAGAAGGATTCACTTCTCCCACCGAAGACCCAGAGGTGTGAGCCAAAACCAAGACATGCAGAATTCCACACAACTGCTCCCTGGTTCTGCTGCCCTCCCCTGCACTTTGACCTGCACTGAGCTAGCCTTGTCTGGGCCACAGGATCAATGCACCTGGAGAACAAAACAGGCTCTCAAACGGCCCTTAGAGGGCAACCACCTCCTTGGCCTTCTGTTCCACCTTGGCCTCCTGTTCTTACCTCTCCAGACAGCGGTTTGATGGAGAGGACCACGTCACATGGCAGATGGCGTGCGTTGTAGATACTGAAATGAGCTTCAGCCTCTCGCCCAACCTGAATATTGCTGAAGATGAATCTGTTCTCATCTGTGACGAACAGGCCGGCGCCTTTCACCGACTGCATCTTCTGGACGAGGTCGCTGCTGCTGCAGATCGGGTAGTCCTCAAAGATTGATGTGACGTCCTCAACAAGTGCTGTGGACACACCAGAGGGATGAGCACGGAGAAGCCTCCCTGATGTGTTTATCTGGGCCCTGCTGGCCTCTCAGAAGGCTTGATAAGCCCTTTCTGCCCGGGTGACTGCTAAACCCAGCCTTGGGTGGGGGAGCTGGCTGAGAATGGAGCTCAGTCAAACTCAGCCTTAGAGAGCATTGCTTTCCTTTTATCCTTCCATGCATCCCTCTCAGCTGGGAGGGATGAGTCCACTGGTGGACTCGAAGAGGGCTGGAACCTCTGAGGATTGTAAGGAGGGCACCCAGGCCTAGCATGGCTCTCTGTCCAAGCAGCAAGTTCAGGTGCTGATCAGCAGCAGGTGTGACCAAGGGCACTGTGGGCAGTAGGTACCTGGGAGGCAGGACTTGGCAATCAGGGTAAAGGGAATGCCGAGGGGATTGTCCTTGGGGTCTCTGCCCGTGATGTCAACGTAGAGCTGCTTCTCACACGTCCCCTCCTGCCTGGCAAGGCATTCCACTGAGATCTTCTGCTGGCCCCCGGGACCGATGGAACCGGAGCAGGGGGACACCGTGAACATGCCAACACTGAGGCGACTCTGCAGGAAAAGTTCCAGGAGAGGCTGATGGCTAATGGCTGTGCCTTGAGCACCCCAGCAAGGAATATGTCCTGCCTTGGCCTCCAGCTGGGCCCAAGCACCCAGTCCCAGGGCAGGGAAGGATAACTCCATGGCCCAAAGGCAGCCCCAAGCTGAGAGCAACAAGCCAAGAGGAGCTGCAAGCCTGTCCCAAGTGGCAGAGAGAAAGGAGTTTGAGTGTGAAGACTGAAGGTGGTAGCTGTGATCCTCCAGAGGTAACAGAAATAGCAGAGAGCAGAAATAGCTGTGAGAAATGATGGGAGGGAACTGGGAAGAAGAAAAAGCAATGTTGTCTGAGCTCTGTGGACCGGGAGTTCAGTGGGGGATGTTTTTGCTTCTGTGGTGTGCACAGACCTACGCTGCCTCACAGCTAGCAAACACAGGACCTGCTCCCCTCTGTTGACCCCACAGCTCCAGGTCAGAGGCAGAGTACAGGACTGCCAGGGGGACTGAGCAGACACTGGACTCCATCCTGCAGACCATGTCCCACCCTGTGGCGATGAGCCCCCAGCCCGGGCACAGCAGCATCTTCTCACATCCCCTGCAGCAGCACTGCTGGGGAGCAGGAGTCACCCACCTGTGTCGAGGAACTTGATTTCCTTCTCAGTGAGCACTTTGCAGATTCCCCTTGCTGTAAACTGAGAGGAGAAAGCAGAGGTATCTGTCATGCTGAGCTCCCCTGCCTTCCTCTGAGGCTGAGGCTGGCCTTCCTCCTCAGAGAGGAAAGCCTTCCTCCTGATGGCTCCCAGAGAGCAACCTGCAGCTCCCAGTGCCGGACAGAGCAGCTCTATCACCAGCTTCACACTACACGTGGGGTACCGAGGTGCTTTTTTGCTCCCTCTCCCCAGACCAGGGATGCAGATGGACAATAGCCCAGGTCTCCTGGCTGCCTGCCCCTTACCAGCTGTGGGGCGCTGCCTCCTCACACAGGAAGGGTGGTGCAGGGCTTCTCCTACCTTTTGCTTTCCAAGGCTGATGCCTCCTCGGGTGCTTGGCGGATGCAGAATTTGAAGTTGAGTGTGCCTTTGTTGTCCAGCACGACCGTCAGGGTCTTCCTGGAGCCCTTGACCATGGCTCCGAAGTTGATGGGTGAGGCAGGCTCAACGCTGCACTTGCTGTACTCGGCTTTCGCCGACACCCTCAACGGGATGTTGCCGACAAGCTCGCTTCCTTCACCGGAGCTGGCATCTCTCACCTGCGTCCACAGGAAGGGAGGTGACCAAAGCAAAGAGGCCAGCCTCCACCCCAGCCCCCAGCCTCCACCCCAGGCCTCCAGTTTACCCCTCCCATTTTAGGCACCTCCTCCAGAGTCCACTTAGGAATTCTCAGCTCCACTTAGGAAGCCTCCCAAATGGTTTTGAAAGACTGTTTGTGTATGTAGGAGAGAGGATTCTCCAGTCAAAGCCCTCCTTCCATTAGACACCTGTGGGAACCCAGGGAATATCCCCCTGTCTGCTCTGGAGTGCTCTGACTCCCAGGAAAACACTGACTTTGACCCTCATTCATGGAGAAAACTTCCAAAGCCTCAAGGTAAACTAGAGACCACAAAAGTGTGAAACAGATTGTAGAGAGTACTTTAGTATGTCACATAGGGGAGAAATTTAGGTTTTACCATTTTTAGTATGTTATAGATGGGTTCAAGATGAAGGATATAGGGTGTTGTCTTGAGTTCCTTTCTTCTTTCTTCTTCTTCCTCTTTCTTCTTGGGTTTAGGTGGTATCTTGTAATTAGGTAGAAAAATCTGCATTGCGGGTCGTTAGGGGTCAGTTATTGGGTTAGAAAGGGAAAAATGTCACTTCTTAATTGGGTAGTTTAGTTTTTGATTAGACTTAAAAAAACCTTGCAGCACGAGGTTGTTGGCCATTTTTGTGCTGTTTTCACACATGCAAGGTCTGGGCACAGACAGTGTGCTGAAGTTTTGGTAAGATAACAATAAAACAAGAACCTGAAGACCAAAGAAGTCCAATGAGTCTCTCATTCCTGACACAGAACTGTTCCAGGAGGGTCTCCCCTGCCAGGGGAGCCCTCAGGGAGTTGACCAACTTGGGGCCCACAAACTCACGGGCACCTATCCTGTTTACGCTCCCAAAACACCATGTGATAACGCAGCCTGGCCCAGGCAGCTCACCTGACAGTACAGGATGGGTTTGTCCTTGAGGAGAATTTCTCTTGTGGGGTGGAAGAGCATCTCAACATCCACGCCAGGCTGGGAGGCAGTCAGCATGCCCGACTTAGGCTCAACAGTGAAGTGGGAGGCCACGTCTCGCATCCTGGGACCTGCACCGCCCAGCGTGAAACTGGGGAGAAAGGGAAGGGATGGAGATCTCTGCAGCTAAAAGTATTGGTGCCACCAGCACAGCCTGGACTTTGCATAGGACCAGAAAAAAGGAAAAGCTCTGCTCAGGGAATCCTGGATCTTGACAGAGAGTGCAGACAATCATGAGGTTACTGCAAGAAAGCTCAACACTGAAAGTTTTCATTCATTTCTTTACAGAGTCTCAGAAAGAGAAAGGAGGTGACCATCAAAGAAAGGCAATGAATCTCAGCATTTCAGTGGCTGAAATTTTGGGGCTCTCCTTTGGGCTCCAGCTGAGCTGTGAAGAACTGTTGGTTTGTGGCTGGATTCTCTGGTGAAATAACTGATATTAGAGAGCCCAGGGTTTGTACTTACCACGAGGTAGCCAGCATGGAAACAGGTTCTAGCCATTGACAGAGGGAGAATTCAGGCCTGGGAATCTGAGGAAATGCTCACTACCAGGCAGCTGGGCTTACCTGTACTCAATGTTGTATGCCCCTTTGTTCTGTAGAGTCAGGACGTGCTTCGCATTATCGAGGACATTAATGGTTCCAAATTCCAAACTTCCACCTGGACCTGCGGAAAACCCACAGAGCGAGGTCAAACACGGTATTTGTGAGCTGCTGCAGAATACACCAGGTCACAAGCTACATGGAGGTCTTGGCACAAAACCCTTTTCAGTAAGTTTCCATTCTTGAAGGTGTTTTCCAGCTACTTGTCTGCCCTTTCTCTTCTCACTCAAAATATCTGCAGGCTTAGTAGCTAAGGAGCTCAGCTCCCATTTCCTCACTTCCAAGCACAAATCCAATTACTTCATATGCTGTGCTGAGCCTATGGGGCTTGCCAACTGCCTGTTCATGTCACTGCTGTTTCAGAGCCCCCAGATCCAATCTGCTCATGAAGCTGCACACTTCAAAGGTCAGAGGAAAGAGACTTAAGGCTGTCAGTGCCCTGACGATGCTTTATTCCACACAGCTTGCAGGGTATATGCTTTATGCATCCACGCCATCCTTGCATGCTGTCCCATCCCATCCCATCCCATCCCATCCCATCCCATCCCATCCCATCCCATCCCATCCCATCCCATCCCATCCCATCCCATCCCATCCCATCCCATCCCATCCCATCCCATCCCATCCCATCCCATCCCATCCCAGTGCTTTGGTCACCCAAAGGTAATGCAGTGCACCTGCACTGCTTTGTTTAGGAGGCATCCACTGACCTTCAGGCATGTCAAAGCTCAGAGAAATGTTATAGACCTCTGCGGAGATTTTGATGTTTTCGGCCTGAACAATCCCCAGGATGTTTTCTGGATCTGAAACCTGAGGCAGCAAGGAACAAACACTGCTCAGATTGTTCTTTTGGTAGACAGCTTGTAAGTCCTTGTCTCTGCTGGCTGCTTCCCCTGTGGTCTCCCTGGCTTCATAAGCGTTGGAGGACGCCCGAACTTTGCTAACCTGTTCATCTCATGGGCTGCCCCAGTGGGATTCTGCCACAGTAAAAAACCCTATCAGCCCAACTCTGCACTCTTCAGCAGGGAATGCTCTCTTGGAGAGGCACAGAGATGTAAGAACAACCACAAGAAGTGTGAGGTGTCTTAGAGCAGGTGGCATTGACAACCCTCTCCAATTGCTTAGCACCTTCTCTGAAATGCACACCTAAACCATGGGGAACAAAATCCCAGGGGGAGAGTTGTTGCACTGTGGAAGAGCTTCAGACAAAGTCCAATGTAGAGCCCACGCTGCAGTCTGTACAAGCAAACAACAACCTCCAAGCACCCACAGGGACAAGGTTGTGGTACAGGCTCAGGGTGCAGTGTCTGGTTATCTGGGGGGACGTGGATGCACTGCACGTTCTGGCAAACGCTGTGTAGAGGCAGAAGTTGGGGTCACAGCACCCTTGTGTCTGTCAGGTGCAGCTCTTCCTGCCCCTGCCCCCAGCAGCACACAGCCCCTCTCACCTCTAGCTGGAGAGTCTTCTCAATGCTGCCCATCTGCCCGGCCCTGAAATGCGCTGTCACTTCAAACTCTGAGCGGGGATCAATGGCGCCGTTATCTTGTGACAAGGAGAAGTTCTCAGCAAGGTCATCCAGCCCACTGAGCTGCCAGGCCACGGGCAGCAGGGTGTCGTTTCTCAGGACCAAGGTCCTGCTGTCAGTGCTGCAGAGACAGGAAGGCACTTGGCATCAGCTGCTGGATGGCCACACCAGCCTGGCCACTGAATGCAACTTGGAGCAGCTCCATCCATGCCCTGGAAACCAGAGTCAAACGTTTTCTCTTTGTCACAAGACTTGGAGTGCTTGTGGGATGACTGACCTGTGCAGAAACTGCTTGTTAAAAGACAGCCCCAGGGGGCTGACCTCCAGCTTCATGCGCACCCCAAGGCAGCACAGGCTGAAGACCACTGGCTCCGGGTTCTTCCCAACGCTGCAGATGAGTTTGTCTTGCAGGAAGCCAGGGGAAGTGGGGTATGCCCAAATGGTCAGCTCCTGGACACGGCCCCACAGGAAGAAACAGAAAGAGCTCTGTGTGAGAGCAGGAGGAGCAGCCCCTGGGCACTTCTGCGTCCCTGCTCTGCCTGCCCCTCTCCTACCTGCTTCTGCTTTGGTTTCAGCGCCATGCTGGGAGGGTCCAAAAGGAACGTCTCTGCTTCCCCAGCATTCTCAAAGGAGAACTGGACCTCTACATCCATGGGGGAGCTGTTGAGGATGGTTATATTCTCCGCGTTGCCAGGACAGTTCTGGGCCTTGTACCTGTCCACAAAAGGGGAAAAGGCTGCAGAGCAGACTGTTGCCTTTGCCACACACCAAGGAGAGCACCGTGTGCACCCGAGGAAGTGATGCTGCAAGACCCTGCTCTAACAAACAAAAGTGAGAAATGGATCCCAGTCAGGGGCATGGCCGTGTGCTCGTCCTTGCCTTACTCTGATGCCTTCCCCAGCCCAGAAGCCTGATGATGCTCAGGCCACTGCAAGAGTTTTTAATACAATGTAAATTCAAAGGTGCCTAGAAAAATAACACTACACCAGGCACATGGGTTCTTTCCCCTTCTTTCTTGGGGGGCCTTCCCTGCAGGGTATAAGGAAAGGCTTTTGAAAAAATAGTTTAGCTAATTTCTTTCATAAAAGTCATGAAACTGCTTTGGATTTTATGGGTTAGCGCAAAGTCTGAGAAAGAAGCATAAAGCATCAATTCCCAAGAGCAATGCAAAAAGATAACAAATGATCCTTCTCTCAGGTGTGGACATTACTTTGGATTAAAAGGGTTAAAGAGGCAAACAGAAATCCCAGACCATCTACCAGTCTGGCTAAAGATTGTCTGTTTTTTAAAGTATTTTGATTTCATTTACTTGGGTTGTCAAAATAGCCCCTGCCCTCCAGAGCTCCCATGGAAGCCAGAACTTAATACTAAATGTCATTAAAAAGAAGTGACAGTAAAAGTAGAAATACACAATAGCTTAAATGACAAAGTGTTTAGGCAGACTTTACCCAGCAGTGAGGATGCATTGTCATTACAGGGAAATGTAATTCCTGCTGTACGTTACCCCCAACACCCATTGGCAGGTCAATAATAAAATCTTATTAATGATTACAGGTTAATGAAAGGTTTACAAAACCATCTACAGAATAATTGCTCAATCAGGCTACCTGCAGAGCTCAAAGCACTTCACAAACCACCATAAAGTTCATTTCCTAAAGGGTGAAGCTGAAATGTGGAGGGGGACAGAAGTTGCCCCCGAGTCACCTTTGGACCGGCAGCAGCAAGGGGGCCACCAAGGCACCCACTGGGCAGGCAGAGCAGCTCCTCCAAGGCTCATTTGCCTCTTTTCTGCTCACGTTCACACATCTGTGGTCCCTCAAACCCATGTGTCTCCCAGGACTCTGCCGGGGACTGCCCTGGGCCGTGCCACCAGGACAGCCTGTCTCCCCAGGCGTGTCACAAAAGTACAGGGCCCAGCAGGGAGCACGTACCACTCTCTTGATTTCCCACACATCAGCGGCCCAAAGTGGAATCGCTCTGTGCTTTCAACATACTCCTTGAAGATTATTTCATCTTCCTTCATGGTTTTCCTCCACTGTGGAAACACCACCCTGGGCAGAGAAGGCGGGGAAGGAAGAGCTATGAGATGCTCCGAGTAGGAAATGTCGTCAGAACGCCAAAACCCCTCCTGGAGGCTGAGGCACCATCTGCCTTGCCAGCTCCAGCACAGGAGGAGGTGCTGGGTGACCTCAGGCAGCACGATCTGCCCAGGCAGAAGCCCCAGGGGTCAGCCCTGGCTGTGGTTCAGGGGCAGCAGTGGTGTGGGGGCTGCCAGGGGCCAGCCTTACCGTGGGTCCTGGCTGATGCTGGGGTACAGGCCGGTGCCACAGCAGGGCAGCTCGTACGGGCGCTTTGTCTGCACGAGCTCAAACCTCAGCGTCTGCTCAAACTTCCCTGGCCTTTTGGTGGAGAAGTGAACCTTCGGTTCCACCTCACCGTGGGCAGGCACTACCCACCGGTACCGTTTCAGCCTGGCAATTAAAGAGGAGGCTTCAGACGTTGCTGAGAAGCAAACAAAACGAGGAGGGTGCACTCGCCATCCCCTGGAGGCACTGGCACAGGGTCACTGTGGAGCTGGGGTCGATGGACCTGGTTTGGCAAGAGGACCAAGAAGCAGAGGCATCACCTCCTCCTGCGTGGCTCACCTGAGGAATTCTGTGGGCATTGAGGCACTTTCCATCGTGCTTTTGCTGCTTGTTGTGGGGGAATCCTGGGGACTTTCTGTTCTCTGTGTGGACACCTGGCTCTCCTTTGCAGAGCTGTCTCTGCTGGCCGCTTCACCCATCTTTGGTTGGCCCTCGGCAGAACTGCCCCTCATATCTGGGGCCTCGGCCTAAGGGGAGAGAGAAAAGGGAGAGAGAGGTGAGCCCTGAGGCATCCCCATCCTGGAGAGCAAAATGGGGCTTTCTTCACCAGCAGAAGAGAGAATAAATAAATAAGTCCACCTGCCCATGGACTTGGTCTTCCTTATTGGTGTTTCTTTTGCCTAGGACTGTTGGAATCCTAGATACCGAGAATTTTAAACTTTCTGTGCTAGAAGGCACAGACTTACAAAAGAGCACTGCATTTGACCTGAGGCTGTAGAGAAGACTTCCAGAATTAATTAATAACACTGAAATTATGAGTGTGTCGTTAGTTAGAAGTGTGTAATGTCACAAAGTAAAAAACTTAGGGTTTAAGGTTTTAGAATATAGAAATAAATATGAAGCAAGATAAAAGCTTTAAAGCAAAAGCAAATTCTTCACCTTCTTTTTCCTTCTTCTTCATAAAGTTAAGTAATGTACTTAGAAAAAAAGTCCACATTACAGGCTTTGAAAAATCAGTTATTAAGTTAAAATATAATAACCTAAGTATCATTTCTTAGTTAAATAATTTAATTTAAAAAATCCTCATAACAAAAAATAGTTAAACATTTTATACCTTACCAATAAAAAACTACAAAACTCACAGCCATGAAACTGTTTTGCTAATCAAAACTAATAATACCTAAAAATAATAAACACCTAAATACAAACATAAAATACCATCTCAAATACCTTCAATCCCAACCTCAAGAAAAAAAAAACAACACCAAAAACCCAACCAAAAAACCAAAAAAAACCCAAAACAAACAAAACAAAAAACCCACCTAGGACAACCCTTCTCACTCAGGACCCTTTCCTCAAAGGAGGTTGATGGTTTAGGTGATTTTTTACCTCTTGCGGTGCCAGGAGGGTGAAGGGCTCCACACGCCCTGCAGGGCCCAGCCGCTCCTCTGGGTACTCCACTATGGAGAGCACAGCAGCAGGGGGAAGGGGAGGCCCGTCGGGATGCAGCCCCAGATGTTCCAGCATCTAAAACAGAAGAGGAAATCCTGCTTGTACTTGTGTCACCTTGATCCTCACAACTCCTTTAAAGGCACTGAGCTTTAGGCAGTGGGGTTTTTGATTTATATGAATAGAAGTGCTTTGTTGTGCCCGCTGGGGTGAGCGGGCTCCAGAGCAGAGGCAACAGCTACAAGCAGGACCAGGAGAGAAACCTCTATGGGCATTCTCAGTTTAGTCAGAGAGAAAAAGAGAGGTTTCTGCCAGGCTAGAGCCTGGGAAAGAGTTGCAAAGGAATGTAAATAATCCTCTGTCTCTCTTGTTGTTCACATTGTTTATGGATATGTTCTGCCACTGTGCATCATTCACTGCACACCAATGGTGTGAGATTTTTTACTTTAAGACCACTGAAATTAGTCTGCACGATGCTCTCCATAAAAAGAGTGATGTATTTGAAATGAATCAGTTGAGTTGTGCTGTTAGAGTTCACATCCTCTAACTCCAGCCTTCTGGAGTTCTCTCATTCTCGTCCTGCCTCAACAGCGACAACCCTCTCCGGAGTGCCTCAGCTGATGAAAACAATGACCATGAGCTGCCCTGTCCTGTTCATAACGATTTCCAGGCTGGGAAACTCTGAACAGACAGGACACTTGTACACAGAGCACTGCCACTTCCTGCCCATCTGAGGGATGGTGATAACCTCCCCATCCACACAGATGTCATTGTGGAACATCATCAGGGGCCTGGACAAGGCTCTGTGCCATTATCACCTGTGGGGACACAATGCTCCAGGGCCCACGACCACGGCAAGCTCAAGATCTGAGCCTTGCAGGGTTTTACCTGGTCCTCCCTCGGGATCTCCCCCATCATGGCCCTCGGATCTGTGACCTGCATGTCCAGGCACAGCGCCCCGTCACGGCAGTCTCTGACTGCCCCTTCTGCAACTTCACTTTGCGCCTCCAGCTGAAATGACTGACGACTCCTTGGGCCTTCACGGTTTTGTTCAGGCTTCTTCTCCACCTTCTCCTGGGGCTTACTGGTCTTCTGAGCAATGCACAGCTGGCACAGGTCAGCCCGAGAGACAGGATTGCCAGTCGCTTTCACCATGGGCTCAGAATAGCTCGTGACAACCCTGTGATATCCTGCAGTGCAAAACCAGGGGGAAAAGTCAGCCTCCTGCCCACCTGTGATCCTCATCCTCCTCCACATCTCCTCAGACCCTGGGAAAGGAGACTTGGTGAAAGCAACACGAGCTTCTTCTTTTGTTGCTAGGAAGGTGCAAATATAAAAGAGCCAGTGATATTAGACCTGGCTGAAGAACTCATCCAATCCTAGTCTTTATGGCTAAGGGACACAAGGGTGATTATTCCCCCAGTCTGGCAGGCAGATAGGGGCTTGCTTTGGCTACACTCAGGGTTGGGATACCACAGCCCTTCACCCAAGACTTTCTCCACCAAGCTGGAGAACAGGCAGTTGCTAAAAGCATGGGCTTGCCCTGGAGAGCAAGGTGAGAGTTCAGGGTGTACGGAATGGACTCCCAGCTGTGACCACAGTCAAAACAGACACTGCCAAACCCTCACTGTTTTTCTGACCTGGTGCTGCCTTGCCCTTGTCCTCAGCCTCAGCCTCAGCCCTGACCTTGGCCTTTGCCATGGTCTTGAGTTCTGCCTGCTGAGCCTTCAGCCTCTTCTGTGCTCCATAGTCCTCCAGCACCTTTGGGAGCAGCGTCCCACCCACGGCGCGTGGAGGCATTAAAAAGCTCTTTTGGTTCTCAGAGCCCAGTGCCATCCGCAGGATCTGTGTGTGTAGGGAAGAGAAACCATAGCAAGATTCCTTTTCTTGCCTTTTATCCCACATACTCAACAAACCCGATTTCTGTCTCCTCCCTTCCTCCCAACAACACAAACTATTTAATTCCTCCCACAGCATGTCGGCAGAGCTGGCCTTGCCCTGGGGATTGCCTCCATCTCCTGGCACAAGCCCGGCAATGCTGGAGTGCTGAGAAGCTTGGGCAGCACGTACATGGGGACCAGACCTGCCTTCTCACCTTCACCTCCTCAAAATCCAAGGAGTAAAACTCAATGGGGAAGCTGCATGGGTTCTTCACCACCGCGGTGGCCTCCACCCCATCGCTGTCCACCAGCACCCATCCCATATTTAGTGCTGGGGGGCTGAACTCCAGCCGTGGCTCCAGACCTCGTCCTGAGAGGTGCAGCTTTAAGTGATTGCTGCTCCCACACATGTTAAGCTTCAGTTCATTCTTGTAAGACCTCTGAAAAGAGAAAAGTGGAGACAACTCATCCATGAAGTCCCGAGTGACAGGACCCCAAATACAACATCGCTTGCCCCAAGGTCAGGGTGTTATCAGTTCCTCCAAGGTGAACAGAAACCAGGTATTTACTTCTGCTAGGGACTACAGCACCTGTGTCCTGGGTCTAGTAACTGGCATGAATCTTGGTGTGCACTGAAACTGGGTATTTGGGTATCAGATGGATGTACAAAGATTGTCAGGCATTTTCATCTGGTCATGCAGGAGTGCAATGCTCATGGGAAGGGCCCTTGGGGTTACAGTGTCCAGGCACTGTCCTGGCACTGCTGCATCAGGCAAACACCAACTCCAGGAGAGGGGCAAATCAGCTCTCGCTGGCCAGAAATAAGGGTCATCTTCCCTGCTTAGTGTTTGGCTCCGGTCCAAGCCAGACACAAGATGGTTACATCTCTCCAGCAATTAAAAGATCCCTGGGAATGTTGGTGAGCACAGAAGCACTTGTGTCCATGCTGGTACACACTGCCAGTTTCCGAGACCCAGCGGCCACAGGCAAACTACTTTTGGGAATGCTCCATCCTTTAAGTTGAATCCCCAGCTGCACGGCAATGTGCAGGCAGGCCAGAGCCCCAGGGACTGCTGGCAGCACAGGTGACTGTCCTGCCGTGCCCAGGAAGGTGTCTGGTGGCTGATTTGTCTGTCAGTCCTGCAGCAGGATGAGCCCAGCCTGGCCATTCCAGGATTATCCCCTGCGAGTGTCTGTGACGCCGAGTGTCGCAGGTGCAAATACAGCCAGGCAAGGGGCAGGCTGAGGGGAGTTGGGCACATCCCCCCCATGTGCTGAGAGGCAGCCCTGGTGCTCTCTGTGCAAGCTCCCTGTGGGCATTTCAAAGCACATCTCACGGGAGGGCTCTCTGGGGTGAACTGAGCCACGCTGAGTATGTGTGGCAGCACATTTCTCCTTGTGCTGCCACAAGTATGGGCTTTGCAGAAAGCTCCCTGTGAAGGCAGAGCTCATACCACACTCTCTGCACCAGGCCCTCATTTCCAGATAGCCCTGACAGGCCTCCCGGGCTGACACCTGCCAGTCTCACCTCCTCCTTGGGTGTAAACCAGATTTGTAAGTTCTGCCACCGTTGTGGATCAAGGGTTCCTTGGGAGGGCATCACTTCAAAGGGACAGGGCTCATCCTCTGGCGCCCGCTGCTTCTGGCGTAGGGCTGGTGTCACGTATTTGTGCTGATCCTTCTGGGCACAGAAACCAACCGTGTGAGGTCTCCTTGGTCTGCGAGGACAGAGCCTCACTTCCTGAGTGCTCTGAGACACTGATGCAGTGCTAAGAGCACCCACAGCCAAACCAAGAGCGGCCCCCATAGCTAGAGCTGGAGGGAAAACCTGTAGACAGGGCAGGCAGACAGGGAACTACTGTCCTCAGAGGAGGAGGAATGGGTGAAGATGGCAGAAAAGCAAAGCATCCGCTAATGGAACAGGCTCAGGCAAACCAGCCTTGATCCAGACCCTCAGAAGCTTCCTCCAGCATGCTGTAGACCCAAATGCTCAGGCAGCCACAGGAGCAGAAAGGGCAAGAGACACAAAGAAACCCAGCCAAGAAGTTACGTGTTCAATGTTGCCTGTGCTTTACCTTCAGAACAGGCTTGATGGACCATTTGCAGGGGGCTTGGAACCGGTTGTAGAGCCGGATGGTCTCAACCTGGCACTGCCCAACAAGGATGTCAGAGAACTGCAGCGTGTTCTTGGAGAGTTCAAGTGACGGTGCCAGCACAGTGGCACAGAGGCGGATGTGAGACGTGGGGCCATTTGTCACCTGGACAAGGACAGAGAATTCAGCAGAGGGTGCAGGTGACATCTGCTGCTGTGCCCAGCCTGCTGCCTGCCCCAAGAGCTCTGGTACCTCTATGGGCAGCAGCACATCCACGTCACGCGGTGGCTGGTGGGCACTTTCAAAGTGCACTTCAAACGCCACGCTGTGGCTGGGGGGCAGGCTCTTTATCAGGCCTAGGTCCACGCTGAAACCTGGAACAGATGAACACAAAGCAGCTGAGATACCCGAGGAACACGAAATGTGCCATAAGCACATTAAAGCCTTACAGGTGTTCTGGCTGAGAGGGCTGGGGAAAGCCCCACGCTGTTCTGTGACCTGGATAAAAACTTGGAGTGCACCTGAACAGCCCTCAGACACAGTGAGGCACTGTGATGGAAGTGCAGCCTTGCCTCGAGGCCTCTTTTGGAAGCCTCTTTTGATCCACCAGAGGATCCCACTGGCTGTTTCTTCAATAGAGGATAAATACAGGTGCTCTGACAGTGTGAACTCCAAACAAAGCATTTCCAATACACAGCAGACCCCACTGGTTGCCAAAACAAGCCCACAGAGTGCCCAAAGAAACTCGATGCTTGTGGGAGCCAAGGGCAGAGGATGCTGAGAGGTGACCAGGGTGATGAGCCCACCTGGCCTCTGCACTGAAGCGTTAGGGCAGTCACAGGCAGGCCAGGAGAGGTCCCTGGGCATGGATGGCCAGGAGAATTCTGCCTCTAAAGCTCCCAGCAGGGGCACTGAGAAGAAAACAGCTCAAAAACCTCCCCAAGTTCAGTGGCTTAAGCTAATCTGAGACACCTCCTTCAAGGCCACAGGAAGTGTCTCCAGCACTGCTTACCTGTATCCTGCAGGGCAGACAGATCAGCCTGGAAGGACACTGGGATCTGCCCTGCGTTGGTGATCTCCAGAGTGCTTCTCTTAGTGAAACCCTTAAGGACAGGGCCCATGTCCAGGATATACTCAGGCAGCTTAACTCTGCAAGGAGGATTAAGGACAGTCCTTAAACCACAGCCTGGTTGCATGTCCAAGAGGACAGCCATAAATAAAGTGGCTATTTCTTTATTCACCGCTGTAAAAACTCAGCTCAAGCCCATGAAACCCGTGGCCTGACCACCTGGCAAAGAGTTAGGGAAGTCAGGAGGAGTCCTGACAAGTCCTAGGTTGTATCGGCTACTAACAGTACCTGCAAATAAAATTATTTAAAATGGACACTGCCCACAGCTCCTCTGCCATGAAAAGCCAGTACAGGTGAGTCCACTGGTCCTCCACTGGTCTCAGTGGAACTGCCCAGCCTGGGGTACAGCCTGAGGCTGAAATTGTTTGGGGCCTAGAATGTGATTTGCCTGCACAGGAAATCTTCTTTGCTCTGCAACCAGACCACATGATCTGCTCTGCAGAGCATCTGCTTCCTGCATTGAAACCTCTGCTGCTTGTGCTGCATCATGATGGTCACAGGGACCCACCAAGTTTCCTAGACAAGCCCTGCCACCCCACCAGGATTCAAGCCATCTGATTTGGGGTTTTAAAGGGTTTGCTGACATGTGCGGTTCCCTTCTCCTTTTGTTTAGTGTGCTCTGTTAGCTGGATCCACGACATCAGCTGGGAGCTGTCTCTTTCAGAGCTAGTCAGCAGGGACAGAATTTATCCTGCCTGGAAGGGCTTGAAGGTCTGCACTGGGTCCCCTCAGCTCTAGGGACAGAACCCCACACCTGTGGGGAGCTGAGCAGTCCAAAGCTCAGCGTGGTGCTGGGGAAGGGAGGACACCCCACTGCTCACGTGTGGCGTGTCACAGCCACCGGGACCAGACCCCTTCTGAAGTCCAGGCTGTTCCCAGCTCTGCAGGCCCAAGGAGCTCTCAGGAGAAGGGGACATGGCTGGGTGTTCCCCATGGGGCACCTGGGGATGGGGATGGGAGTCCCTACTCACTTGACAAGACTCTGGCGTAGCTGCTTGTTAGGAAACCTGCTCTTTGGGAGATGGTATGTGAGCCTTTTCTGCTGCTCCAGAGCAGCCTTCTTTATCAGCATCCTCATCGTGTTTATCTGCAGCTGAGTGTTTGGCTGGGGAAAGGGAAAAAGTGCCTGGTTAGCAAAGCTCCTTCCCAAGGCCCAGCTTGCACCTGAGAAAGGATCCCACCCTGCTCTTGTTGGGAGGGGGTGTGGGGTCCTCCTGTCCGGCTGCTCAGTGTCTGTGACACCCCCTGCTCTCTTAGCCAGGACCTCATTTCCAGGTAAGTAACTCCAGCATCTTTGCCTACCCAGATTCTTAGCAAAGCTGCTCTGGCCAGGCAGACAGACCAGCCAGGAACCTTCCAGAGCTCCAGACACTTGCCTGCTCCCAGCCAGTACCAAGGCAGCTTGGACAAAAACTGTCTTGAAAGGGAACCAGGACCAAGCTGGTGCCTCTTGGAGATGAGCACCACCAGCACAGCCCCAGGGCACAATCAGGCAGCCGCTGTTAAGGTCTGTAACTCTGGCAGGGCTTGGGTTGGGACCAACAAACTCCCCAGCAATGACCTGCATCTCCTTCAAAGCACCATCAACTCCATCCCTGGAGCATGGCCTTCAGGACCTCTCCCTGGGGTAGCCGGGAAGTTGATGCAGCCCCAGAAGAGACCATGACCAGAGTGGCAGCCCTAGGGGCAATGCTGAGGTGACACAAGGTTGTAGGTGGGCAGGGAGGTCCCAGGTGCCATCAGGGCACTGGGGAGCTGCTGTGGGCTGCAAGGGGCTCAGGTGACACGGAGAAGGTGGCATGTGCCAAACGGGGCTGCAGCTGTTCTTACTACCATGTCAGAGCCAAGCAAACGGGGCTTCAGGTCCTGAGGCTTCGCATCCCGAGTCTCCGAGGTCTGAGTCTTTGGAGTCTGAGTTTTCAGAGTCTGAGACTTCAGGCTCTGAGTCTTCTGAACAACTTTTGATTTATTCCTCTGACTGTACTGTTGCAGGGGTTTTACAGTCTCTTTCAGTAGCTTCTCATGTTTTTCATTTTCTGAAGGAAGAAAACGTCCGCAAAGAGAAGTGTGAGCAAAGTGCCAGTCCCATTTCAGCTGGGAAGTCCCTGCCTCCCAACACTGGTTTCTTCCAGAAAGAAATCCCTCAAGCCCACTATGGGAAGTGAATGCTGCTGCTCCTCGCTGAATCCTCACGTTGTCTCCCTCCCCACCGAGGAGCATCTCATCCTCGGCAATGTCACACAAATCCAACCCTGCCAGAAGCCCTGCCAGCCTCTCCTACAGCTTTCCCAAGCCCTTCACTCTCGCCACCATCCTTCAGGACCCTGCCAGATGTGCTGGCAAGATCTGCAGGATGGCTCCTGGGACAAAGCCCACATGGCATCCTCTGCTCAAGATTCATGAAGCAACCAGGGGGGCTTGAGTTGGCCTGGGAGTGCTGCAGGCCTCCAGGCTCGGTGGGGGTTGGCATGAGCTGCCCCATGGGCTTACGGTGGGGAACAAAACCAGAGCGGCCCTTCCTGGGGGCAGACAGGCCGTGCCCACCTGTGGTGTTCCAGGGCAGGTTCACGCTGATCAAGGGACAGCACGCTTCTCCTTTCAGGAGGATATTTTTTGGGTCCAGGTCATCCACTTTAAGCTGGTAAATCCTGGTGAAAGCTCCTGGTATTCCCGGCATGTAAGAGAATTCCAGCTCTTGCTTCTTGCCAGGTGCAATGGAGCCCTGCAGGGACAGGAGAAGAGGGAGGGAATGCATCAGAGTGTTTGATGGGGGATCAGGGGACAGACAGGCTGAGGAGACAGACTCTCATCTGGAATAAACCATCGGACCACACCACCTTCGTGATAAATATATTACAGTGTTGGCTTTCACAACTCTTAAATACAATGTGGTTTATAATGTTGACTTCTGTAAAAGAAGTTTTGCTAAAGTTTAGAGTTCTTTTAATGCAAATGTTGTGTTGTGATACTAATGTTGGTGAAGAGTTGTTGTAATATTAACATTTAACATTTATATAATGTTAAATTATAACATAAATATAATATTACACTTATAATATATATTAATTTATAATATATAAAAAGTATATAACATACACATATAAATATATTAATTTATAACATATATATAATATTAAATTTAACATTTAATAGTGAAGCAATGGAAACCTGTTGAATATGTTGAAAAGTAACAAATGACCACCACTAGGACAACTGCACATGCTCCAAAAAGGTGGTACGGAGGAGGAACTATGTTAAAATTTTTGAATATATCTAACCATTTGTAAATATGTATTAGGCTGATGCAATACCCAGGGGAGATAAGGGGTGTTGCTGGGTTGACTGGTGTGCCTGTGGCTGCAGCTAAGCACCCAGCACTGTTACTTCTGCTTTATTGACTTTGTCCCCGATTGTCTCTTAATAACTTTTTTTTAATTTTAACTGAGGAGTGGCCTTTGTTTCTCACACCTTCTACCTTCCCTGTACCCAAAAGGGCACCGTGTGTCCTCCCCGGGGCTCACAAGGCTGCAGCCCCAGCACAGCCTGATGCGAGCACAGCCCTGATGCTAACAGGCTTTGCCCTCTGCCAGCAAGAGCCTGCCTCAACAAAAACAACTTCTTCTGCTGCCGCTGGGGAAGGGAAGCCCCTGCTCTCAGCAGGGCCAGCAGCTCCTCTCGTCCCTTGGAGGATTCAGGCATGCAGAAATGGGAAAGCAAATTGCTTCCCACGTCAAGGAGGGACAAAGGCAGGAGCGCTGCTTCGGCTCAAAGACATCCAGGCAGGACTGAGAGGCTTGGGCAGTGGTGGGATGCTGCTAATCTTTCTCCCTGCTCTTCCAGCCCCGCTCCCTGGCCCCCTCACTGCCCCACAAAGCTGATGCACAGCAGCAGGGCTGGAGAAGGCAGGGAGCAGCAAGCCTAGTAAGGGACATGGAAGTGGTGCTTAGCTGGCAGTGGGGAGGCAGGGCCAAGGACAATGTCCTGTGTGATCACGCCCTGGGTAAGGTGACCCTCAGAAACGCTCCAGTGCCAGCACAGCCTGAGATCTCAGCTGTCAGGGTCCCCAGAGTGACTGTGAGGAACCAATTAGATTTTTAGTCATGCCTCAGCATAGGCTATAAATCCATTTTCTGACATGGGGTGAAAAACTACAATATGGGCTGTCCACGTGCTGGGAGCCCTAACTCATCCCACGCGTAAAGGAGGTTGGTGGCAGACAATGCAGGCAGGCTCCGTGTCTGGGGGCTGCCAGCGACCTCCCCCTCGGAGGAGGGCAGACCCCAAAGCCCAAGAAAACTTTGCCCGCCTGACCAAGTCTTCCTGAAAGGGCTGAGTTATGGGAGTGTGAAAAACATGTTCACTCTCCTGTGAAAATGTAAAAAGTTTAATAAAGGGCAATAGGAGACAAAGACCACAGCAAAGGTTGTTAGGGCCGGGTGCATCTTGGCACTCAGCCAGGAGCACGCTGTTACCTTCGGGACACCCCTTAAATACCTTTTCCATTACACCAGGCTGTTGCATATTCATAGTCCTTATGTATTTCCATAAACTAGTTTACACATTCCAGGAACCATTCTACATGGCCCCTCCTTGGTTCTGCCTTTTTAGGGCGTGTGTGTTTCTTAGCTGGGTTTTGGCTCCTTCTCTTTATCGCTTCCAGTTTGGGCCTTGGTCCTCACTGCCTGCAGACAGTGAGTGCTGATGGTTGGCAGATCTGTACAGGTGTCCTCATCCTGTGTTCACTGGGTGTTATCCCATCCAAGCAGGCATTTTAACACAAGCATGGCTATTTCACTGCCATGTCTAAGCTTAACCAGCAGCAGAAATACAAACTGTATCTTTATAACAAAGTTATTTTAACACCACACATATAAAATCCACATTTTATATGTGGATTCACATTCTCTGAACAGAGAGAGGCATGATTCTCTCTCCCAGGATTTTTCCTGGGAAGTTGTGAGACGCAGTGAGAAAGCTCAAAGAAAACAATTCTTCTCTCTATTTGCTGCTCCTGTTGTTTGCACATGTGGAATGTGTTATGGAGATTGTTTACTGAGGAGGGATTTGTTAATTAGACACCGGTGATGGCTGTTTGGATTGATTGGCCAATTGGGTCAAAGCTGGACTATCTGCAGACAGTCACAGGTTTTTCTTCAGTATTTTTTAGTATGATATAGTTCTAGTACAATATATTATAAGATGATATAATAAAGCAATTATTCAGCCTTCTACAACATAGACTCAGAGCATTTCCTGCACAGGGGAGTCACATTGCTTTGATATTAATATTTGCGAAAAGCCAATGTTATAATATGTATCTATGACAGGAGGAATCTTAGCATATAAAAGCACTGCCAGTTTTTCCCTGCCATTTTTGGGGTTTTTGTTGGGCTGGGAGCACCTGGAGGGCCTGGCTCCCTACAGAGCCATTTCTTCCCTGTCTGTCTACCCTGCTGTCGCCGCTTCCCCTCTCGCCAGGGCAAGCTGGTGCTCTGCTGTCTCCATGAAAAACATGAACATTGATCTTATATGTGTCGTGTTAAAGTAACTTAGTTATAAAGATATCGTTTTTATTTCTGTTGTTAATTAAGCTGAGTGAAATAGCTGATATAATGTGCTTGGGTTAAAGTGCCTGCTGGCATGGGATGGCATCCAGTGAACATATGAAGAAGACACTGTATAGCTCTGCCAACCATCAGCACTCACCGTCTGAAGGCAGCCTGGGCTGGGGCCAAAACTGAAGATGATGACAAAAAAGGACTAAAACCGCAGCCAAGGAATAGGCACGCTCCAAAAAGGGCAGATCCAAGGAGGAGCCATGCTAAGCAATTCTTAGAACATGTAAACTAGTTTAGGGAAAAAGTTTACTATGCAAAAGAGTCTATGAATATGCAACAGGCTGATGTAATGGAAAAGGCACTTAAGGGGTATCCCCGAAGGTGACAGTGTGCTCCTGGCTGAGTGCCAAGATGCACCCGGCTGTTATAACCTTTGCTCTGTGGTCTTTGTCTCCTATTGTCCTTTATTAAACTTTTTACAAGTTCACAGGAGAGGGAACGTGTTTTTCACCGTGCAGCTGGCAGCACACTTGCTCCACCTGCCCAGCAGGATGCCAATGGAGCATCCCAGGGTTCCAGCAGTAATGCTCTGTCCCTGTCCTCTGTTACTTTCTCCGTTTCTCATTTTCTCTCTCTGCTCTCTTTTCCATCCCCTTCTGGTCGGGACCATACCCTCTGTTTATCAACAAACAGTTTTCAGATACAGTACTTCCTGCATTTGTGCCTTATTTTCATCCGAGAAATCTACCAAAAAGAATTCTCCTCTACTCCCCTGACAGCAGGACAGGACAGTGACCAACACATTCATGCCTCCTGCTGGTTTCTGCCTCTGACAGCAGAGCCACCCACCAGCCAAGGCCGTGGGGACTCTATCAGGAGCGCCCTTGTTTGACCTTCTCTACCCCTATCAGAAATTGCTTACAGCCTCTCTCTCTCTCTCTCATGGCCGGGTTTGGGTTTTCCCCTCTGACTTTTTTCCCCCTTTCTCCCCCTCCTTTTTCCCTTCACCGCTCTCCTGGGCCACCTGGCACAGGGCTGGGGTCCGTCACTTGTGCTACTTACAGTGGTGGGATTGACCAGGAACACACCAGGCAGACGCTGGTCACAAGCGTTAGGCTTCAGCACCCAGGTGAACTCAGTGCTGCCAGTGTTCTCCAGGGTGACCGTGCTGTGACCAATTTCATTAAATATCTGGAGAGAAGGCACAGGAGCGGGAAGTTACAGACCCAGGCCTGCTGCTGGGAATCTCCTTCCTCTCTCCTGGGCTTGGAAGCAGACACATCGTGGGAGCAGGGACCAGGGAGGAGATAAGGGCACTTGGGAACCTGGGGAACCCCCAGGCACAGGGCACCTGCGCAGGACCAGGGAGCTCTGGCAGCACACAGAGGTGTGGTAACAACCCTGTGAGGGCCAGCAATAAATGAACCGGGGGACAGAGGCCCTCTGCACTCTGAGGGGTCACCAACAGCCAGGAGAAACAGAGACAGCACTGAGGCATTCCAGGAGAAAAGGCATGCAACTATTGTCAAGCAACACACATGCAACAAGGGAGTCACACAGGGCAACACAGACAGGGCCAGCAGCTGGAAATATCCGTGGGCTTTCAGCTGGAAAGTGGGGATTATTCTAGGACAGTCTCTCCAACTCTAGCGACTGGAAGCGCAACTTCTTCCCTTGATTATTTGTGGATTAAGCAGGAGCTTTAGACGAGCATCTCCTTGGAGGTCAGGCTTTAGGCGTGGATCAGCAGAGGGATGCCTCAGGGACATGACCCCCAGGGCATCCCCACTGGGACCCTGCCTGCCCCAGGAGGCAGTCTTAGGTACCCAGAAAAAGAGGCACTCCCTACATTTTTGGAGATGGCTATTTTAAACCAGGTTGGATGCCAGATGTGTCCCTCAAAGGTTGTACTTCCAAGCCCCAGAGCCAACAAAGGGGCTGGGGAGGGGAGGGAGCCCTGGGCCGAGGTGGGCAGGAACCCGCTGGCCGTGGTTCCAGGGCAAGGAGCCGTGCCAGGGGCTGTGTGTGGTACCTGAGGGCCACAGTTGATCTCCCAGCAGCTCAGGGAGTAGCTGAGGCGTGAGCTGATCAGCTCCACCTCGTAGGTGGGGCCTCCCTCCACACAGCACAGCGCCTTCACGCTGCCGAGGATGTCACGGCGGCCAGAGAAGGTGAAGGAGACCTGCTGGCTCTCTCCTGGCTGCAGCACACCTGACAGCGGCAGGATACTGAAAGCCTGGATGGAGGACAGGAGAGATTGAGGTGTTGAGCATGGAAATGGGTGCAGAAGAGCATCTTGGAGCAAAGTGCAGCTGGACCTGGAGGGGCCTATTTCCCAAACACAGCCAAAATCACCCTAACCTCATTCTGCATCCATGCCACTGACCAGTGGAGGGACCATGGGGAAAATCTTCTCCCATACTCACGGATCAATGCGCTAATTAATACACTACATTAAAGTGAACTGGGATGTCTTCTGGCAGTAGAAATTCTCTCTGATGCACAACATGCCTTTAAAAAGCATTTCTTACTGCTTTTAGAAAAGGAGGAGACTCAGAGTGAGAGCTCTTGGAGCTCAGGGAGCTCAGGGAAGGACTCCAGCCCCGCTCATCTGACTCCTGAGGCTTTTCCCCCCTCTCTCTGATTTGTAGCCTGCTTTCTCCAGGTGCTACAGCAAAAGCTCCTGCAAAAATTTCCTATGGACCAGCTGACGAGGTCCAGGGGGAGCAATGCCCTCCATAGGTGCTGCACAGCGTCCTTGGGCAGCCCTACAGCATGTCCTGCACGGCCCCGCCAACACCCAGTTGGTTCAGCAGCACTTTGTATGGGCCTGGAGGGACGTGAGGCCCCTCTGTGGGCAGTGCTGGGGGCCACCAGTGGGACTGGGAGCTACAGCCCTGCTTGCCACGCTGGCAATGGGCAAGTGAGACAGATTCCCTCTTACCTCCTCCGCTTCGAGGGGAGTGTGAGGTGCATCCACGGAGGACGTGATTCCTGCCAGCTCCAGTGGCAGGTGAGGGGGTCCAGGAGTTTGTGGTGGCACCTGAAAAACAAGCCATTTTCTATGCCAGGAGGAAGAGACAGCCACTTTGCAAAATCTCAGTTTGTAAGATAACTTCAGGGCCACCAGTGCAATACCAGCTCTCGGGTGAGAGCAGACACCTGGAAACAGGTAGTCTGGCTGGGCTGGGAAAAGGGTACATGGAGATCAGGACTCATCACAGCTTGCTCTGGGAAGGAAGCTGGAGCTCTTACCATGATGATGCAGATAAAAGTCCCATCTTACATTGTGAAGAAAACCAGGCCCAAAAATCCCACACTCAGCACAGGTCTGTAGGATCTGAGTGAGCTTCTCCAAGGAAAACTCTCCTGTTTCTCCCTCCCACGCACCCCATACCCAGCCACGGGCCCTGCTGCCCAACCCACAGGGGCACAGGACAGCAGGGCAGCAAAAAGGGAGGTCAGCACGAGCGTGACTTGTCAGTGGCAAGCTGGGGAGACAACACAAGCAGTGTGTGTACAAAAACAATCTACCTCTGTTCCTAAAGATTGGGCAAAATCCCGTGCTTCTTTCAGGGCACTGTCTACCTCCTCCTTTCTAATCCTGAATCTCCTTCTGTATGCTGAGCAATCCAAACGGGAGGTTCTTTGCTCCTTTGGTGGTTGGGGTTTGAATTTAGGTGGGTTAAGCTTATACCTGGAAAACAACAGAAATGTGAACAGGGACCTGCAGTGGGAGGGAGGAGGGAGGGACACCTGCACGAGCAGCTCCTGCTCAGGATGCAGCCCCTGGGTGGGTGCTGGAGTGCTGAACTGAGAAATGGTCTGATCCAGCCCTTCCCAATCCAGGCTGGAGCAGGTCTGTTCTAAAGGCAGCCCAGGGATGACGCCCAGGCAGCAGCAGTGCAGCAGCTGCAACTGCTTGCATTGAGCACCTACAGAGGACAGGGATTAACAGCTTGTGGGGATGCAAGAAGTGGGAGAGGGAAAGACACAGAAGGCAAGCAGAAAGGTGGGGTTTGAGGCACCGAGGGGCAGACCCGGCCAGTGAGGAGCCAGCCCAGCAAACCCCAGTGCCCAGTGCCAGAACCTCTGCAGCTCCACCAGGTATTTATCAGGAATGATTCCCTGACAGTGTTGGGGGGGGTTGGTTGATATTTTCCAACACTCCCAGGTGACTCAGGTCACATTCCCCATTTTAAATTGAAGCAGGTGCCTAGGGTAACTCTGCTTGTGTTTCTAATGCCACGCGAGGGACACAGTCGAGCCGTGCCTGCCTGTCACCCTGCTGAGCTGCAAGTGCTCCCCACACAGTCAAACACGACCTGGATGCTCCATCCCCAGACAGGCATTCAGGGCCTGTAATGACCTGCTCCCCAAGGAATCACTGCCTTTAGCTTTGTAGCTTGCTACCTAAGGCTGGGTTTAATTTCTGGGTGAGGGGCAGTCTCGTCATAACCCCCAAAAGATCCCTAATCATCTATTCCACTGTCTTTAGTTTTCATGAATGGTTTGAAGCAACTTCCCAGTTGCCCAGACAACGACATTTTTCACTCTAAAGCAGAAACTCTGAGGGAGGCAGGGATATGAGATGATGTGATGAGCAAGTCCTGCTGTCAAACAGGACAAAACCCACCAGGGACATGTTGCAGGGGAAAAGTCAAAACGAGTAACGGGTCACAAAAAAAGGGAGTGAAGATCCAAGGTGTCTGCTGAAAGCTGACCCCTGGGAGGGAAATCATCCTGGCACTAAAGGAGTTGTCTCAGCAAAGAAGGAAAGGGAAGCTAACAGACATTCAGCATCAGCCCAGGCACCAGGTAGCTTTTCTCTGGTGTTGGGACTTTCTGGGCATCCTGCAGCACAGTACAAGGGAGGAAGGCAAGGAGCAGAGAGCAGCTCCTGCAGAGAGGACCCATCCCAAAGCAGAGGGGCCAGAAGGGGCTCCAGCAGCACTGTGCAGCTGGCACTAGGAGCCCTTCATCAAGGTGACATTGCCTCAGGCCACAGAGGTCTGAGAAAGCAGCTTTCACCCCAGCTTTCCTTCCCAGGGGAAACCCCTATGGGGGCTAGGCAGCACCAAATTGGTGGAAAACCTTTTCTCGGAGCATCCAGGCTGACCACAGCTGGTCAGTGTTATTTGAACAAGGAAAGCCAGAAGCAGTCTGTCAGATCCTAGGCCAACAGCTTTGTTCTCTGCCAAGTACAAACAGGGCACCAGGAAGAAGAGCTCCAAGGAGAGGGCAAAGGTGCACATACCCCAGCTTGTCCGCCTGGCTGTCCGAACAGAGTGACCAGTGGTACTTGGCGAGAAGAGGGCTGCAGTTGGTCATCTCCAGAGAGCGCACTTCTTCAGTGCCACCCACGAACTCCAGCGTGCTGGGCTGGATTTGCAGGTTTGGGAAGCAGTTTTTTCTCCAAAGGCCGTCATGGAACACCGGGGAGGTGTCAGTGAGGCAACAGGTCTTGGTGTTGGGAGAGCCTAGGAAAAGGACACAAATGTCCATTTAGGCACCAATCATGGCATGACTCCTGGTGTGAATATCCTGGTAGGATGAAAGTGTGATTGGAGTTTAGTTCTTTATTATTTGAACTACAGCTCACTGAGAAGCTGCACGAGGAATTAATTGTCACTTAGTTCCCTTTGACACTGATTCCAGACTGCAGCCTTGAAAATGCCCACTCCTAGCCCTGCTGAACACTGCAAGCTTCTCTCTCTCTGATGGGGAGGAGCTCCCTCGCCCGCCTCAAACCAGCACCAGTTATCTCTCAGGGACGAGTGTGCACCCAGACCGAGCATTTACTCTGAAAATTCAAGCTGCAAAATTCCCTGTTAAGTCTGCCAACCCTCCCATTGTATTCAAAATACATAAACAGTGAGTGACATGAGTTCACACCCATTCTGGTCACTGTGATTACTGTTGCCTTTCTTGTTTCATTTATTCAAAAGGCAACTTAACAAGTGCCTCAGCAGTGATAAGGGTGGGGAAGAAGCAGCTCAAGAAAGCTTCCTTCCTTCCTTCCTTCCTTCCTTCCTTCCTTCCTTCCTTCCTTCCTTCCTTCCTTCCTTCCTTCCTTCCTTCCTTCCTTCCTTCCTTCCTTCCTTCCTTCCTTCCTTCCTTCCTTCCTTCCTTCCTTCCTTCCTTCCTTCCTTCCTCCCTCCCTCCCTCCCTCCCTCCCTCCCTCCCTCCCGTGGAAACTTCTGTTACTGTGTTGTTGTTTGTGCCGATATATTCCAGTAAAGAATTGTTATTCCCTTTCCCATATTTTTGCCTGGAAGCCCCGTAATTTCAAAGGTATAATAATTTGGAGGGAAGGGGTCATCTTTCCATTCCAGGAAGATTCCCGCCTCCCTTGGCAGACATCTGCCTTTTAAACCAGGACAGGGACACCAGAAAATACTGACTTTTTTTTCCTTGGTTCTATTTGATCTCACAGTGGCAAAAATACTGTCTTTCTATTCTATTGGTTCTATTCAATCTCACACCCGGCAGCCCTGGAGTTCACACCCTGAAGAGGCTGCTGTGGCAGACCATGACTGAGGGATGCTTTTATGTTCCAGTGCTCCGTTTTGGAAGGCACAGATCCCCCACGCTGTGTCCCAGCCCAGGGAACACTCACCAGAGGAGATGTCCTCCAAGTTGAGCTTAATGGTGTCCGAGAGTGAAGTCGGTGCGGTGACACTGCCCCTGCCGTGGCGAGGACAGAGGAGGAGATGGCTTGGTTAAAGGGAATTAAAGCAGAGGTCTGGCTGTCGTGGCTCGGGGGTGTAAAACCTGGTGTCAGGGCAGGTTTGAAATCAACACCCCGCCACGTGCTCAGCACAGTGCCCCTGCGGACAGGAGGCAGCTAAAGCCAAGTGGCCAGCGGCCAACAGCCACTGATGGGGCTTTGGGCACAGGGCAGGCAGGAAAAGCCCCCTGGTTGTTGGTGGTCCCATGAAGGACCCTGAACACACACCCAGACATGGCTCTGTGCCTCAGTTTCCCCATCTGTAACGTGATGGACATAAAGGTGTCCCCACAAACTTCTGTAACCTTTCCTGCTTTGCTACTCCCTAGCTGCAACTGCTGCTCCCATGGAGGAGCTTTCTCAGGAGATTTTGACCCACACAATCATTACAGAGTTTTGAGACATGAAGCCAAGGGAGCCCCAAACACCCTCTGAAAAGAGCAGCAACAGTTCTACACAGTGGACAGATGAATCCTGGAGGAAAGGACCAGCTTGTCACCAGTGCACCAGCTGGCACAGCCAAGAGCAATAGCTTAAACAACCAAACAGGGGTGTCCTGAATCTAGCACACCACCTCACCTGTCCTTAAACTCAGCAGACAGGCTCCAAAAGCCACAACATCCACTGAAATCAGCACTTGAAGCTGCACAACATCATGAGTTTATTTCATGGCTGATGCCAATCGATGCCCACTCTGCCCTTTGGTTAAAAATCAAGGACCAGCTGTGCCTTCTGTTGTATTCCCAGGACTGCCACTGGCTCTGCTCTACACCTCCCAACAAGAGACACCTGCCCTTGCTCAAGGACAAAGCTGCTTATGCAATAACATCCCATGAGCAGTTCGGGGGAGGGACAGAGCAGAAACAATTATTTGATGGTGAAATGTTCCCTCTTGATTTCCAAAGTAAAAAAACAGCACTTTTCCTCTAAAAACAAAGCCAGCATACTTGTTTCTCTACTATGGGCAGACCTACTCACAACTTTTCTCTTGCTAAGTAGTAACTTTCTTGTTCTTTTTAACCCATCTCCCTTATCTCATTGGTATAATCGACTGCAGTTTGCTTTCATTCCTTCACTGCCTTGACCCAGTGCCTCCCAACAGCAGCTCCCAGCTCCACAGCTCCAGAGCAGCCAGCATCAGCTCTCCTGCTGACCCTACACGATCCTAGCAGCACATGGCTCAGGCTAGCAGGGACAAGCCCTCATGCTGCTGCGGTGCTGAGGAATGAGCTCTGCCTCCCCTGTTTTCAGCCCTTCTCCCTTCTGCTGGGCCAGGATTCTCTCTTGCCATGGCACCAGCCCACGGGATGACACCCCTGTCCTTGGGACAGTTCCTGCTGCACACTTCCCTGTGTCCCACATCAGCCCTCTCCTGGCTGTGGAAAGGAGCTCCCAGGGCACTCTCTGCACAGGAGCTGAGAGCACGGCTCGTGCCCCACAGCATGGCTGTGAGAGGTGAGGTGAGGCTGCTGCTGCCCATCTGGGATGGATTATTAATGGGAATTTTTACAAACACTGCTGCTGGTGCAGAATCACCCAGGCTGGCCCACCTCCAAAGCCCTGGGGGCCTTGCTGGCTGTTCAGGGGGACATCCCAGAGCAGCTACTGCCCAAAGCTGATCCATCCCACTGCCTGCCATGGCCCAAGGCAGAGGGAGATCCCTACAGGGAGGATGGTGCCAGCTCCCAGGTACCCACACAGGCCAGGAGGCATCCTCACACTAAGGCAATTCCAGGATCAAAGCAGAGATCAAAACCTCAGGAAAAACCTTTTTTCTCTGCTCAGCCCCAAAATGAGGGAGATGTCCCAGAGACAGCCACAGATGTGCCCACCAAGCTCCCACAGTCCTTACTTGATAGTCAGGATTGCAGGCCTAGGAGATCCAGCCACACTGAACTGGAATTCTTCCTCAAATGTCCCCAGCACGGTGGCACCGAAGGAGACCTGGATCGTCTGGGTCCCGCCTGGTGCAATGATGCCTTCCTTGGGTGCAAACTTGAAGCAGAAGCCCACGTTTGCATGTGAGGAGATATAGGTGAAGGGAGCATCAATAGCTCCTAGGTTAACCAGCTGCACCTGCAGCAGCAAGAAAGCAAAATGCAAATACATGTGGAATCTTCCCTTCTCATGAGTTATTGTCTAATGATGCAATAAACATGCACTTTCTAACTTTACACTGTTGGAGAATTTTTGTCCATCTCAGTTGGATATCGATATTAGATCGATATTCATATTTTAGTAAGTCACCACCAGGCTTGCTGCTGCCTCAGGAGCCATCAGGATCCATCCCAAGTCCTGCTGCTCACCTCACGAACGTGGGGGGTGTTGACAGAAACGTTCCCAAGGTTCAGTGTGCGACAGTTCAGTTCAACCAGGGGTCCTTTGCCGTGCCCTCTGAGGCGCAGGGGCAGCCTGCTCTCACAGCCTGGGGAGAGATGTCCATTTCAGTACAATAATTCCCTCTGTTACACTGCATTTTCCAGGCTGCCTCAGTGAGAGTCCCTGACTCTGAGCTGGATGCCACCAGCTCCTGATGCTGCAGGAGAAGATATGGACCCTTCTGTTCCCTCAGGAGATATCCCTTGGGGCTGACTTGCAATTTCTAACCCATTCCTTGGGCTGGTTTCCAATCTTAGCCACCAGTCTGCTGAGTTTCAAACACCTCTGATGTCCTGTAGTGGCAGGCCAAGCAGTAACGGGTATAAATTGAAAGAAAGGAAATTTAGGTTCCATATTAGGAAGGAATTTTTTACTGTGAGGGTGGTGAGACACTGGAGCAGGTTCCCCAGGGGCGTTGTGGAGGTTCCAGCCCTGAAAGTGTTCAAAGCCAGGCTGGATGGGCTTGGAGCTCCCTGATCTAGTGGGAGGTGTCCCTGCCCAGAGGCCTTTAAGGTCCATTCCATCCTGACCTTCCTATAATTCTGTGGTGTCCTTCCCATGCACTTAGAGGAGCTCTGAAATCCATTCAGTGCAGGCACAAAGCTCATACAGAGTTTGGCAATTGCCAAACTACCTGGCCCAGTAGCACACGGCTTTGTTGCCAAAATCCTCAACTTCTGGCACTCAGCATTGTGTTCTCCTTCCACAGACTGAGCTGCAAGGTGACAATTCCCACACAGGGACAGAGGCAGGTGCTGGCCAAGGGTGCTCCTTCTACAAACACCCTGGGCTCAGCGGGGCTCAGCCACTCTGGTCTGGTGGTGTCTGGGCAGTGGGAGTGATCCAGGGTCACAGAGATCATTTCTAACTCAGCTCCTACCCCCTGATGATGGATCTGTGTCAAATGGACCCATCCTGGAGGTCAGTGGCCTAGAGGGTTCAGTGCTTGTTCACTAAAGCTGTTGTGCTCTGCAGCTCTTTGGCCTTTGAGGAAATGCTGGCAAAGCCATGGCAGGAAAACCTCTCCCTGCACTGCCTGGATTGTTCTGGGTTCAGGAGCCCAGACACAGGATTCTGAGCCCTGGCCTTGCACAGGAGACTCCCTGGAAGCTGCAGGGCCAGTGGGGATGTGCCAGCACTGCCCTGCTGGCCAGGGACTCTTCCCAGCAGTTACAGGGGAGCCCAGTGGGCTCAGGCTTGCACCATGGCTGCACTGAGGCTGAGAGAAGCAGGGGAAAGGAGCTGGACCTGAGATGTTGCAGTAAGCCACACTTCGGTACTCCAGTGCCTCTGTGGGTTTGAAGGTCACCTTGATTTCAGCCGAACTATTCGGCCCAATTTCTCCCTCCTAAAACAGAAAGAGACAGCAAAACATTTATCTTCAAACTTCACATTTCTTGCTTTCAACCACAGTCCTGCAAGCCTTAGTTTAGAGCATAGTGATGAGTGAACAACACAAGGAGCCCAAGGAAACACTCCAAACCCAGCTCAGCACACTGCTGGAAGCTCTCAGTGCTCAGCTGATCAGCTCCCACTCTCCACAATGTTCCTACTGCTCTGACACAAGCCCTTGGTCACATCATGCTGCTGTCAGCTACAGCGGGATGCAACTGCCACTGTGCACTCATGGCTCTCACAAGAAGAGAACATGATCCCCTTCCTTGGAAATAAAAATATTAATTTAACCTGTGTTGAAAGAAAGCAGCAGTGGGGATTATTCTGGGGTTTACTCCAAGATGAGAAGGGATTTTGCACTGTGCAGACACCAGGCACTCATCATCTCTCACATCTTCAGTACTCAGAACCAGGGCTCTGGCTGATGGGAGGATGTGGGGGTTTGCTTGCACAAACAGAAAAGGAAAAGGGTTTCTGTCCCTGTGTGCAGGAGAACTCAAAAGGCCCATTTAAACCTTCCACCCTTGTGTCCAAGCTCTCAGAGGACACTGGAAGGGACACTCAGAAATAGTGCAAGGCGTGGTTACAGGTGGGGATGGGCATTTCTATGATTAACCATGGCAAGCTTGAGGTCACTATGTGAACTGGCAGAGCTCCAACACCCTCTGCTGAGCCCCTGCCTACAAGAACTGCTCCCTGTGGACACTGCAGGACAGCACAGAGCGCCCTTGAGCTCGAGCCCTGGCAGCAGAGCTCGGCTTTGTCAGGCTCCCAGCCCTGCCCTGAGCCTGCAGGGCAGAAATGCTTCCAGCAGGGAGCTCTGCAGCTGCACCAAAACTCCATGTCCTCCCTCCCAGCACATCGGGCCAGCTGAGGATCTGCCAGTGACCGCATCCCGGTGGGAGGAGGGAGAGGGGGAGGAGGAGGAGGAGGAAGAGGAAGAGGGGAAGGAGGAAAATGAGGTTCTCAGCTATCACTTACCACTGGCTCAATGAAAAAAATGTCATCGGAGAACAGCATGGGGTCTTGTTGCACCTTTGCTATCTCCGCCAGGACCGTGTTGCTCAGGCGGGCAGTGTGATCTTCACAAGAGCCCATCTCTGACTCTGATGTTTCCTCCTCCGTTAAGTTTTCCTGCGACTTCTCTGACCACGGCCGCAGAAAACGACACTGCCTGCAGCCACAGGAGAGACAAGGCCAGCAGATCGTTTAATAAGCCACATATTTGCAGAGGGAAGTGTGAGTGCAGGAGGGCAAAGCACCTGGGGAGGAGCAGCAGCAGCTCCCCAGCAAGGGCTGACCCCAGGCCATGGGGTCCCACATGGATCAGAGGATAACTTGCTGTTCACTGGCACAGCAGGTCGTTTTACTCCACACCTGCAAGCTCAGGACATGTTTCCAAAGCCAGAGAGAACTTCCTGGCTCAAAGCCTCTGCCAAAACTGAGGGAGAACCGACCAGGCACTTCAAGTGGATTTTCCTACCACTGAGCTGCTCAGGGGAGGCAGATAAAGATCATGGAGCAGGACTTCCCTGGGAAGGGGAGACGAAGCTGGGCTGCAGCTACGTGTTACCAGCATCACTCTTTGTTTCTGCCATTTTGGACCTGCCCTGATCCCTACTCTGCCTTTCACAAGAGCATCCCACAGCACTTCCAAAGGAAATTGATAAATTCAGGCACCGCACCCCTTCAGTGACATTCAAGGTTTTATGCATGAAAACAGAAGCTCTGAGAGGTGAGGGGACTTTGTTGTGCAGGAGGGAGACAGCAAACTCCTGGAGAGGCCTTTTCATGACCCAGAGCTTTTTGGGTCCCATCCCAGTGCATGGTAGTAGAATGTCCTGAGAGGGAAAGGATCCTGCACTGTGTCCTCTCATTAAAAAGTCCTCTCAGCTCTGAGATCTCAAAAGCTGCTCTGACAGCAGGACAGTGGCCTTGGAGCTACAACCATGCCTAAGACTGGAAGTAAGGAAGAACAAAATGTCCTGGTGGCAGTCTAGGACACAAACTGGCATGAAAACAAATGTAATTGGAAAAAACCCACAAAACCGCAACCAGGTTGAAGTTTACTTTGGGGAAACCTAGTTGCTTCTGAGGGCAAAGCAGATCACCTGGGGTCCAGGCTGAGGCAGGGAAGTGGGGAAGAAATGGAAATAAAGAGCCCAGGGAAGTAGCCAGAGAAGGTCATGGGGTTTTTGTTAACACACAGAGCTTGTATGGAAGTCAGATGCTGAGTAAGGAGATGGAGAACAGTGGAAAACCAAGAAGCCCAGGGCACTAAAGCCATTCAGGTGGGCAAGGGTCAATCTCCTGGTCCTTTGCAGGCAATTTAAAATTACTCTGGGGACTGCAAGCGACCTGGCCCTCAGCAACCAGGGGCTTGCCACGGCAGTTTTGGCCCAGCAGTTTTGGTTCAGCAGTTTTGGCTCAGCAGTTTTGGCCCAGCAGTTTTGGCCCAGCAGTTTTGGCCCAGCAGTTTTGGCCCAGCAGTTTTGGCTCAGCAGTTTTGGCTCAGCAGTTTTGGCCCAGCAGTTTTGGCCCAGCAGTTTTGGCCCAGCAGTTTTGGCTCAGCAGTTTTGGCCCGGCAGTTTTGGCCTGGTGTTTTTTCAGTTTTTGCGTGGCAGCTCGCACAAGCAGCCTGAGCACAAAAGGTGCAGCCACCCACCTTCCTTGTGCAGAGGGTTGTGTCTTTTTGCTGGTTGTGAGGTGCTTGACTTTTTTTTTCTTTTCTTTCTTCTTTATGTTTTTGGGTTTTTCCCCAGCGATGGTTTAGAAATGCTGAAAAGCCATTGCTGCTGCTGCTAGCAGGAGTGCACTAACTCAAAGAGACCCCCTCAGGAAGGGCACAGCTGTCCAGGCCCCTGGCTGCAGGGAGGGTCTGAGCCTGGTGTTAATGGCAGAGGAAGTGCAGAAGACACCTGCGTGTGGTGTGAGCAGCTGAAGGATCTGCTCTGCCCAGTGGCAGAGCTTAAGGAAGAAGTGGAAAGGCTGAGGAGCATCAGGGAGAGTGACACAGAAATAAACTGGTGGAGTTACACCCCTCCAACCCTGAGAGAAGCTGAGCAGGAGTCAGAGGAGCTCTGCCCTTCTTGGGATCAGGCAGAAGGAGGAGACCTAGGACACAGTGGGGAATGGAAATGGGTCTCTCCTGGGGAGGCAATAAAATTCCATCCTGACTCCCATCACCTTCCCAGGTGTCCTGACAGAACAGGTATGAGGCCTGACTCCAGAGGGTCAGGCAGATGACACGAAAGAAAAAATTCTGCCTGGAGAGTCTCCCAGCTGCACTTGGTCTGTCAGACAGATCACAGCCTCAAGAATTAAGAAAAGAAGGGTAGTGGGTAGTGGTAGTAGGTGACTCCCTTCTAAGGGGAGCTGAGGGCCCTGTAGATTGACTGGATCCATTCCACAGGGAAGTCTGTGCCTCGCTGGGGCCCAGGTACAGGATATCACCAGGAAATTCCCTAATAACTAAATGAACTTCATCTCTTCACCACTGTCTGGGGTACAGTGACTGTGAAATAAGAAGAGTTCTCAATATTCAGTGAAACAAGGAGGGGCATGGACAAAACTTTCACTCTGGACTTCTGGAGGGCAGATTTGGCCTGTTCAAGAGGCTGATTTGGCAAGAACCCTGGGAAACAGCCCTTAAAAACAAAGGGGTCCAGGAAGGATGGACACACTTCTAGAAAGAAGTCTTGAAGGCACAGGAACAGACTGTCCTTGTGTGCTGAAAGACAAGCTGGCAGGGAAGACAACCAGCCTGGATGGGCAGGGACCTTCTGAAGGAACTAAGGGAAAAAAAGAGGGTGTAGCACCTTTGGAAAGAGGGTGAGCTGTTTAAGGATGTTGCCAGGTCATGTAAGAAGAAGATTAGAGAGGCAAAAGCCCAAGGAGAACTTGAGGAAATCCAGTCATTGCAACCAACCTTTCCTTCCCAAAATGCCACCCTTGGTTGGAGTTTAAGTGGAACTGGAATGCTCAGTGCTGAGCTCCTGAAGCCAGCAGGGACACACACCCTAGTGCCAGGCATGGTTTACTTGGCCCAAACCATTCAAAAGCACCAACACCCCCTGAGGCCACACGTCAGTTTTAGTCTTGGGCCATGTATCTCACTGAAATGAGATATGAAATGTCAGACCAACCTCCTCTTCTCTCGATTCTCTCCTTCCTCGGTAGGAAAAGCCTTCCACTGGAAGTGGGCCGTGACGTTACTCCTGTTCTCAATGAACATGGTTTTGTGGTTTGACATGGAGATGAACGTCGTCTCAACCGCCACGAAATTTGTGCTCAACCCAATGTTGAGCTCTACAGCTTCTGCGTGGAGCTCTGTGAGGCTACTTTCTTCACCTGGAACAAAGCAAGGGGGAGTCTTTGCTCAGCTCACTGGCTGATGGAAGCACGAGGAACAGCTGGCTGATGGAAGCAAACCACAGGTCACAGAAGAAAGTGTCACAGTTTTCAGCTGAGTCAGCAGCTCCATGGATCAGTCCATTTATCACATCCTGACAGCTCTGTGTGTACAGCATGAGGATGTCCTGGGCACCTCCTTAAACACCTTATTTCTGAGAGTGTTTGTGCAGATTTGGCCCCAGGGTGACAGTATGTGCAGTGAGATTTGTCAGATGTGCTCTGGTGACCCACTCAGATCCCCGGGATTTCTGCATCAATGTCCTTCAGGTGACACTGAGGAGCCCTGTTCAGTCCTGGCTTGCCCAGGCTCTCCCTGGGCATCCCACGGGACTCCTGTCTCTCCTGATCCCTTGGATCCCTTGTTGCTGACAAGCAAATTTGCCTGGGGGCATGTGGGCAGCAAAAGGAGGCCCAGAGGAACAAGTGAAGTGACAGCCCACAGCACGAGGGGACACAGGTGAGGAAACACAACCAGCCTGGCTCTGCAATATGACAAACCACTACAAAATGAACACCGTGAAAATCATCATCATCTCCCTGCCCAAACCCACAGCCGCATCAGTCTTGAAATATTTTATATTATTCTGATCTCAAAAACCAAGCTGGAGCATTTCAGATTAAATAAAAAAGGGACAAAGGGAAGATTAATAAGTACAGAGCAGCTTCTAGATGAAGACTGACTGGGATTCCTCAGTCTAGAAATCACATGGGAGATAGATGTGAGAGGTTTGCAACAGCATGAATGGCCTGGGAAATGGGGACGAGGAAAAATTTGTCTTGATTTGTCACCAAACAGGAACTCGAGGGCCTGGAAATGTTATCAGACAGAAACTAATATATGTGTAAGGGCAGTATAGAAAAAGGGTCTGTGACAAGCCAGTGGAGAAGCAGCATACGGGACAGAGGTGTGCAAGAAACACATTGCATTGGAGAGAGTCTGATGGAAACCTCACACCTCACATACAGCACTGCCCAGGAATAAAACAAAACTTCACCCAGGCATAGCCACACGGTAGTGGAGAATCGGGGATCCTCCTTCCTCCACTCAGCAACTCCCAGCAAAACGGGAGTCCAAAAATCTTAGTCCCGTTAGAGGGGATCCACTTTCTCAACCCCCTAAACACCAAGGAGTTCTCTGTTTTCTTTGGGGTAAAGCTGAACAGGGGAGGGACCTCTAGAGGGAATGGAGGGGGATGGGACAACAGGGAGCCATGGTGCAGAACTGTCCTGTGCCCGTGCAGGGCCCAGCACTCACCTGTGTTGCAGCACAGAGACCCCGAATAGTCACCGGTCATCAGCGCGTGGAATCCCACTGTCACCTGCACGGTGTCACCAGCGCCCACAGTTCCCGTGGCTGGAACCACGGAGAAAGGACTGCAACACAAAGAGAGGGCAGCAGCTGCAATGCTCTGGCTCCTTCTGTTGTTCATTCCCGGCCCTGGTACCACCCAAAGGGGTTTTGCACAAGGACAGAGCCTCACCTCTGGGTGCTCAGCTGGTAACGAGCTGCCCGCTTACTGACATTACGAACCAGCAGAGTCTTCTGGCTGCTCTGCTTGACCGGACACTCCGAGAAGTCCAGCTGGTCAGGGAACTCCAGGATAGCTGGGGCACCAATGGCCTGAATTGGCACAACTATCCTTTCCCTTGCAGTGGTGCAGATGAGCTTGTGGGAATAATCCTGCAGGAAAGGAACCTAGCTCAGCACAGGACATTTAGTGCCATCCCCATGGCAGAAGAAAAACCATTTCCTATAACCCTTCAAGGGCATCGATTTACCTATTCCACCCTAAAATGAATGCTAAGTTCTACTAATATGTCACATTTTAAGGGCACCAGTACGCTTTGCAAAACCTATCTCAGTGGCATTAAGCTCTTGTGTCACTTGGGTCATCCAAAGAACTGCCTTAGGCCACCATAATTTCTACTCTAAATTTTAATGATGCTAAATAATTCCTAAGTCCCTTCTAAGGAGCTGGGGAACACAGGACATTCCTCTTTAGGTTTCTGTATTCCCACTGTCTGAGAAGAGAACAAAGTGTTAAACTGACTCTAAGCAGCAAAAAGAAGATGAGAAACCAGCTGCACCCAAAGAGCTCCTGCACCTCTGGCCTGGTGCAGAAACATGGGTTGGCTCAGACCTGCCCTCTAACTTTGCCTGTCCAACCAAGTCAGGAGAAGAACAGCGCTAAGAGGTGGCAGCATGCTGTTGGAAAGAGCCTCCCTTTGTTTGCCGGCAAGGCTTCCCCCTTCCATGCCACGTCCCAAACCCTTCTGTATGAACAAGCCTCCAAATCACAGCACTGAGATCCGACTTGCCAGGGCCCCAGCACCAGTGTTCAAACCTCCCCAAAAAAGCAGGTTTGGCATGGAATGGGTGCCAGCTGACAGAGCCACCACAGTGACAGGCATGAAGGCAGAGGCACAGCAGTGTCACTGCTGTGGAGTCACAGCTCTGCCTGCAGGTCGTGCCTGCCCTACACGAGCTCTTTCAGGCAGGTGGCCAAGTCCCCTGCAGCTCACCAACCTCCTGCTGGCTAAGGGCACCTAGAGCCCAGTGTGCCCGTGCCAGGCCGGGCTCACGGGCACAGCACATCCTCTGCCCTGGCCCTGCAGCTGTATCATGGTCAGCTGTGCTCTGGGACAGCACAGCTGCAAGGCTGGAGAACAGAGGGTGTGAAAAAGCACCGTCTTTGCTCCAGCCCAGGGTGAGGCAGGGAAGCTGTTGCCAGTCAGGAAGGAGGAAAGCTCTCAGACCTCCTTGTTCCTCTAGTGTTTTCCATAACAATGAAATCCCTTCCACTGTACCTAGAGATGGCCAAAGATCTATCAACACCCCTCTGTCATTTTCGCTGTTCCCCTGCATCTTGCCTCGGGGATGCTCAGGAATGTGCAGGGAGGGAAGCAGAGCCTGTCAGGCCTGGGCGCAGTGCCTGACAGCATGAGCCAAGCTGTGACTGGCTGCAGGCTGCCTGCCCACGGCCTGGAGCCAGGCTCACAGCATGGAATGGGGCTGCACGGAGAGCAGGGAAAACAACGGCTTTGGGGGTAATTCTGTTCTGGCTCCTCCAGTCTCACCTTGCCCTTGCCAGGGGTGAAGCGGATGCGCACATGGGCAGGCACACCCGGCATCACAACACGGTATGCGTTGTTGGAGCACACGAGCTGGAAGTAAGGCGAGCTCTCCATGGAGATCCTCACCACCTCAGGCAACTGCAGGAAAGACATGAAACGATTGTTTTGCCACTCGTGGAAACAGGACAAGAGGAGACCTGTCCATGCCCTGGTGACATCCCTCCTTGACCCCTTTTCCAAAGCACTTTCAGCTGTGGAGCCACAGGCACGTCATTCCTGAAGGTGAACCCAAATCCCTTCTGGGTCCAGCATTTTGGCCAGGGGCAGTAGGGCAGTGCCTGGTGGGAAGGAAGGGCCAAGCAGGTCATCACCAGCACGATGGAGACAGAGCACTTGAACCAAGTCATCTGCATATTCAGCCAGACCAAAAAACCTGCTGGCTCCTGCCTGCACACAGCCACGCAGTAGCCGTGTTCCAGAGGGGGAATGTGCTGTCTGAAAGCAAAACAGCACATTATCCTGGGGGAAGGAAGAAATTCTCTTCTAGCAGATGAGGTTTGGGTGGGGCAGTTCTGGGGATACATTCATGCAGGCAGACCAGCAAGAGAGGAGACCAAACACTTTGGCCTTACTGGGAATAAAAGCAAACCTGAAAAGCAAAAGGAACACAGCAAGACAACCCCTAAAACAAGGAGATGGCAAAGAGAATTTAAATGGGCAGTAAAGCAGTGAGGAAGAATCATAAAACCATGAGAGCAATCAGCTGGCCAAAAGTGACAGAAACACAGACAGGCTGTGCCTACTGACTATGGGCTTCGAAGGCATTTTCTGCCTGGAGAAACATGACCAGCACTGACTCACAGTGTGGTTCCAGAATTAAAGGCCAGTCTTGGCTCTCCAGGGGTTCTTGCTGCCTGTGCAGGCAAGCTGGGCTGCTGGGCATTCCTGCCTGCAGCCAGCAGGCCAGGTTCTGTCCTCTGGGATACACAGACACAGCAAACATGCATTTTCTAGCACAGAGGTATCAACCCCCGAGCACCAAAATGCTCTCAAGAAGTCTAAAGTAGATGATTTTGACTCCCTCCTGTCTCTTGCCACCAGCTCACTCTTGGCACAAGGCTCATTTGAGAAAATGTTTCCCTGACTGAAATGCAAATGGTCTCCATTTTCCCCTTTACAGTGGAACACAACTGCTGACATTTTTTACCTTTTTCCCTCTCAACTCTCTTGGGAAACTGTAAAACAAACACAATTTCAAGTGAAGGTAAAAACCTCCAGGAGCACATGGCTTTGGATGTGCTGTGGTTCGCCAAAGGGAAAGCAGAGCACCATGCTGCTTTTGGAAAACCTGAGCAGAGCTGGATGAAGCCTCGCAGGAGCCCAAAGTGGCACCTAAAGGCTTCCTGCTGCTTCTGCTACATCAGCCTGATCCCAGGGCTCTTTCAGAACACACTTCCTGCAGTGCCAGTGCCAGTAATGAAAAGTGATTCCAGCATCAAGTGGAGAAGGCTCAGACCCTGAGCTTTGACTGTGAGCTGCACAAAGGGAGCCAAACAGGCTGAGAGAGGCAGAGGAGCCAAGATTAACCTGGGAAACACAGGATGTGGTATACACTCAAGGCAAAGCATGAGAGCAGGTAAGAACTGTACAGCCCTCAACATTCCTATCAATCCAGAGCTTTCAAGAGAAGGCAACTCCTTTGGGATAGATACCATCAACACATGGCCAAAATCAGGGAGAATTCCCAGCACAAGAAGATTTCCACCATCTTGCAGAACAAAGGTGCTGAGACATTTTCTTGTGGATGTGCTGCAGCAGGTAACTTGCTTTGCTGTACACTCTGGCAATTACACCACTCTCCTCTTCCAGCACACTCTTACAGCTCCACCCCCCAGCACTTACCTTGTCCTTATTCACGAGAGACACCACCATTTCAGAGACCTCATGAGCGACAAAGCCCCGAAACACCACCTCTGGTGGGGAAATCTGAAGCAAGTTCTGCTTCGGGGGAACTGACGACAACTGGAGAGGCGAGAGAGAGCAGGGAGAGGTTCAGCTGCTGGGAGGAAGGGGCATGAAGGATCCCTTACACTGATCCCCAGTGAAGTACAGGCTCTGGGTGAGCACGTCTGCCCAGCCCACACTGGGCAAACAGTGGCTCACCCACCTCTGCTCTGAGCTGATCAAGAGCTGCTGGGCCACACAGAGCAGGCTCAAGCCAAGCTGCTCTTTTGGCACGTATTTCTCCAGGTTTCCTTCTCCACAATGCCAGGCAGCACTTACCTTAAGCACAGCCCTGTGCCCGTGTGGTCACAGAGCTCTGGGGCACTGAGTGAGCACTCATGGAGTAAGTAAAACCCACAAATTTACATCAGACTCTATGGGAAATGATTTTAGGATGTCCTTTACTCTGAGACAGGGAAACCAAGGCCCACACAACTGCAAATATCTTTTTTATCTAGAACTTAGACATCAGTAAGAAGAGAACAGTACCAGAGGAGGTGTGAGAGGTGAGGTGATATTTTGCTGAAGCCAAAAGGTTATCTAGCGAAAGAATGGAATTTGCTGGTTCTGTGTGTTGTTTGTGGTTTGGATTTGTTCAGGTTGGTTTGTTGGGTGCTGCTGTGAGAGGGACAGGGTTGAAGAGCTGACCAAAAGGAAGCAGGATGAGAGGGGAGGGGACAGAAGAGCTGGCAGCTGGACAGAATGGAAGTTCCCGAGTACCCATCCAAGGGGAAAGGGGACAGGGACCGCCCTGGCGGGGTACAAAGGAGATAGGAAGATTGCCATTTTCTCAGAGGGTGTGTTTGTTCGTCTCTGGGGGGAGGGAGACATGCCCAGCTCAGCTGAATTCTTACTTGTTACAGAATTTCTGAGAGAGAGAGGGCATGATTTATGTCTGGAGTGAGACTTGAGCTACCCCCTCAGACAGGCCCTGATAAGCGGCCTTGGTGGGGCCTCGAAGCCTTTGATGCAGTGAGAATTCAGTTGTGGCGCAGTCAGAAATTATGTTAAGGTAACTACAAAGTAATGAGCTATCCGAGCATGAATTAGAGTAGAGCTGCAGTGTGCAAAGCCTGACCACCTCAAGGCAAAGGTAAACAATGTTAGCTTGCCAATCAGAGTGCCTTTGTAAACTGTAAACTATATGGGAGTGTATATAAACTGCCATCTTATCACGAATAAGGGGAGAATGTTGCATTAATCATATTGGTTGGATGTGCGTTCTGTCCTGTCCAATTTTCCCGTTTTATGAGGTCCCTGGCTTTTGTTACTAATAAATAGTTTTCTTTTGCTTTGATGATTTTGTCCCCTTTAATTGTATTTAAAAGTTAGTGCGTTTCAAACAGAGGTAAAAGCAAAAATAAAGTAACACAGAAGTTAGGAAAAAGACAAATGAGTGCTGAATGAGGAAAAGGTTCAGTTATTTTCTCAGCAACTTGGGTGAAAGTAGAGTTGGTGACTCCTTTTTCCATGAGCTTTAAATGGGTGCTTTCTTGTAATTATTGCCATTTTACATGATACCATTGTAGAGGCACATCTGGGCTGACACAACAACAGCAAATGCTTGTGGAGCAGAGACATTGCTTTGAGAAAACTCTCCCCTTTGTCTGCCTTCTCCAGCCACACTGCTGTCACTCCAGAGACACAAGCAGGCCTCCTGTGTGACTCCCCAGGAGACACAGCCTGCTGAAGGGACTGGCTGCAGCACCCTGTCCCTTGGCTGTGCCCTTCCCTGAGGTGCTCCCAACGCCCCTCTCCAGGGCAATCCTTAACCAGCGTCTCTTGCTGCCAATTTCCTGCTCAGCAGCCCACCTCGGTCACCTACCCCTTTGGACTGTGCTTTATACTGAGCCAGTCCTGCCAGAAAAGCAGCTTTAAACACACCTCTAGGTAGGCCCTGATGCAGATAAAGCACATCCATTCCCCTCTGCCCAGGGCGAGTCCCCTGCACATTGGCAGCCTGCAAAATCTAACACCCCGTCAGGGTCCAACACATTGTTCCAACCCAAAGCATTCATGAAATTCGTTTTGTTCAATCTGAAGTAATTACTGCAGGTCCTCGGCCTTCAAAGGCCAGCGCTGCCACTCGGAAGGGAATCCTGTGACCCCGAGCATTTGATGGCGACCACACCACAGCAAGAGGTGGCTACTTCATCAGGAGAATGGCAAATGGCAATTTTGTGCCTTTGTGTCCCCAGCCTTCCCCCCATTGTTTTAGCAATGGCAGCTACACTTAGGCAGCTTCAGCAGAGGTTATTTGTGTTGGCTTAGTGCAGATCAGGACTCCCATCCACCACTACCAGCAGTTTGCACTGACAACAGGACCTGGACACTGAGGTATTTTGCTGGAGGCAAGCCTGTCACAAGCACACACCCTCTTCAAACTTCACATCAAACAGGTGTGGAAAAGGAAAAGAGCAGGAAAAGGCTACCTTTTGACCGGTCTTACTCATGTCTAGAAATGGGCCAGTTCTGGGCGCAATATTCTCCGCAGTGCTGGCCTTCTTCTTCGTGTTGAAAAACTTCTCCCACAGGGACTTAGAGGGAAGCAGCTGAAAGGCAAAAATAAACCAGCTAGAGTCTCAGAGATGTGCTTGTTCACAAAAGCTTTTCTTGAACAAGTGGCACTGGTGAACAATTTGTGATCACATAGTCTAGGACAGTCCTGGAAGCCCTGGAAGTTACTTGCTGAAATACTTAGCACCAATAAATTAATAATACAGAGTGGAATACACATACTCCCACCCCACGGCTGCGTCCCATTAGCTTCTCTGTGATGTAATGTGACATCTTTGGGGATTTCTGCTCCTTGGGCATTTGTTTCCTCTTATGTTTCATTGGATTGAGGCATTGACCTTTTCAGAGAGTGGGGAGGAGCTCTCAGAACTCCCCTAACTCCATCCATGGACAACACTGAGAACTCACAGCAGGGAGATATCGCTGCTGGGGGAGTCCAAGAGACGCAAGAAAGGAACGTTGTACCAAGAATGAGGAGCACAGGAATGTGTCCAAGTTTTTGTTTTCTCTGTTAATTAGCATTTGTTTTCTCTGTCTGGGCTCACAGACCCCTCCACAGAAGAAAACAGAGGGATCTCCTTGACAGAGCCTCAGCAGTGGGGCATCTTCACTCCAGTGAGCTCCAGACACCAAGGGACCTCTGTGGCCTGACTCCAGTGCTGCCTGCAGGGCTGGATCTGCGCCCACACAGGAGATGAGAGAGAACAGCTGGCTTGGAAGCTCTTCCAGCTGGGACCAGCCATGTCTCTCTAGGCTTTGGGCAGAGTTTGAGCTTTCCCTGCCCCACCACATGCCCAGGTGCCCAAGGGCAGGTTGGTCAGAGCAGCACAGGTGAGTGCCCAGCCTGACAGAAGGAATTGCTGTGGCAAAGGGAACGGGACAGAACACACGCTCGCAGCTTCAGCTGCACATTGGTTTCACTTGGCTCAGCCAGGCAAGACCCTGAGGCAACACACGGTGTTCCCTACTGCACCAGGACAGCCCCCACCAACAGGAGCACGGCACAAAGAGGTGGGGAGGGCGTCTGCAGCTTCACAGCGCTGCTGGACAACAGGGGCAGGGAGAGGAGGGACACGAGAGGAGTTTCCAGCCTTAACACAGCCCCAGTGGGTACTTACACTGAAAGACTTCAGCGCTTCCCTCGACCAAAGACGGGGTTTCAGGATCTTTTCTCGGAATCCGGAATCCATTTTGAAGGGAGGATATCCCAGATAAACGACAATGCCTCAATGAAACTGCAAGGAGCAACAATGGAACTCTGAAAATCCAGAACCCAATTCATGGCAGATTCAAGGCATATACTGGTGCTAAAAATTTTATAGTATTTGGAAGTAGCTCAATGCTTGTTTGGTGTAAGTAGCTAGTATTGTTAGGCCTCTAGCTGGACTTGATTCGAACGATATGGCTATGTTGTGCAATTCAAAGATGGATCATACTGAAACCTGGAGGTAAAAATCTGAACATTAATAATAGTTAGAACAGACAAAGATGTAGCTTAAATATTAAATACTTAAAAATAGCTTGAGTGGATCTCCTCTTCTTTAGGCTAAACCAGCCCTGTTCTCTCAGCTCTTCCGCACAGGACTTGTGAGAGACTGCAATGTTATGGCTAATGGCTTAAATATTGTTATAAAGGACTTTCTGCCCATTGGGACTGCATAAAGAAGCTGTGACCACCCAAGCCCACCCTTCCCTGAAAACGCCTCCTGACTGGAACTTTGGACTGTGAGTTAGGCTGCCTAAGGGAACTTGAAACAAGACAAAGGTGACACTATTGCCCACTTATCTCAGGTCTGGGGAGAAGTAAACAAAGCTGAGGAGAAAACCTATCCACAACAAAGCCAAACCCAGCAGCTGTCCTGAAAATCAGCTCTGTCTGGGTTCAGGGCAGGGAATTCATAGCCACAGACTCATCTGCTGAGGCCAGGTTTGCACACAAACCTCCCATCAAAGACCTCCAAAGTGCCCCCAGACCCATCCCTGAGGCCTTGCACCAGATGACTGCAGGCCATGCCAAGTAACACAACAGATCTGAAAATCCAGAACCCAATTCATGGCAGACTCAAAGGATATACTGGTGCTAAAGATTTGATATTATTTGAAAGTAGCAATAGATGGAGTCAGACTTGCCCCGCCCCAGGGAGGTACCTGGGCAGTCCCACCTTGCCCAAATCTGCATTAATCCACTGGAGTCTTACGTTTTGCGAGAGAGACCTCACCACAGAGAAGACCAGAAGAGGATTTTATGGTATGCTGATGGGATCCATGGAATGGTGATATTTTTTACTTAATCAGTCTCTGTCACTCTCTTTCTCCTCCCTCTTCTGAACCCCACCCTCCCTGACACTTTTTCTTTCTCTCTCTATTCCTCACATTTACTGTTAAATAAAATCCAGACTATTGACTTTGGCAATTCAGAGGCATCTCCCTAATAATTTTAATAACCAGATGATAACAACCCACTGAAACTTGACCAGAACTCATTCACCTTTAAGCAGTTTAAGCAATCACTATAGGGAAAAAAAATGCATAGACTAGTACATTTAGAAAATGTTGCATTTCTTCAGTGCAAAAAAGCACAATCAGTAGACCATATGTCATTCATCCACTCAGCTGTCCATGCCGCTGAACTGCTGCACCAGAGGACTGGCATTATCACAGCCTGCATTTCCCTTTGGCATTCTCTTTCCGAGCACAGATGAGACAAAACCAAAAAGTTCAGCTTTAGTCAATCTTTACCTTCAAAGGAAATTCAGGACTGTGTAGCAGAGACCAATGCTCTGCATGTTCAGGAATCCTTTGCAGAGACCAATGCTCTGCAAATTCGGGACTCCTTTGCAGAGACCAATGCTCTGCAAATTCGGGACTCCTTTGCAGAGAGCGATGCTCTGTGAACAGTCACTCGGCCAATGGCCCAGTGCAGCCGCCTGCAGGAGCCCAGGCTGGCACACCCAGCCCGGAGCCGCTCTGTGGCTACTGAGCCGTGCCGAGCACATCACCGCCGCACGTCACAGACGCCGCCGCCGCGTTCGCGGTTTCCAGGCACCCGCGGCACCCGATGGGCGGGGCCGGGCGGGGCCGGGCCGAGCCGGGCCGAGCCGCAGCGATTTTCAAAGGAGAGTGGCACTTGAGCTACTGACTTCGGTGCTTTCTGTGAAAAACGCCAGTCACTTGGGTTTTAAGATTTTAAAAGTTTAATAATTAGAGTAATAAATTAACAATTACAGTAATGAAAATTTAAGAGTTAGGACAATTACAAGACAATAAAAAGCAAAGAATTACGGACGTCCGGACGCTGTCTGTGAAAAACGCTGCGAGGCCTTTCCCGCCCTGCGCCGCCGGGATCTGCCCGGCGACCGATGACATCACTGGAGACTCGGGCTGCCATTGGCGGGCAGCAAAGAGCGGAGCCAATGGCGGGGCCGGAGGCGGCTCTGGGGGCGGGGCCGCAGCGGAGCGGCGCCATGGCTGCAGCGCTGGGGCTGGGGGCGCTCCTGGGCCCCGGGGCGGCGGCGAGAGGCGAGGGGGACCCCGGCACCGGGAGGGACTCTTTGATCGCCCATTCCGGAGCACCGAGGGGCCCTGAACCCCCATTCCCGGGCGCCGCCATCCCCCCGCACCCCATTCCCGGCATGGGTTCTACCCTGCACCCCCTTATCCGGCACCAGCAACCCCCGCACCCCTTTCCCGGCCATCCCGCCTCTCCCAGCCCCCAGAGCCCCCTTTTCCTTCACCCAGAGATCCCCTGGACCCCTATTCCTGCCTTTCCCAGCGCCCAGCCCCTCCTTTCCTCAACGCCGAGGACACCCGGGACCCCTATTCCCAGCCAGCCCGGGTTTTCCCACCTTTTGCGGGGAATGGGGACACCGGGGAGCCGTGGAGCTCCTTTCCCTGGATACAGGAACCCCCTTAACCCCGCCCATCCCACCTCTACCCACCCCAGCCTTCAATCCTGAATGGAAGAGCTCAAGGAAGAAGAGGCCTGTGGAGTAGTAAAATTCATCAGCAGCCTCCAAGGGGCTGAGGATCCACTGTCATCAGAGCAGCAATGAACAGAAATGGGCACCGCTTTGTGGCTGCCCCAGCTCTGGGATGGGCCCTGGGCCTGGAGCAGGAGCAGCTCTGCAGGGCCCCAAGGCCGGGGCTCTTGTGCTGGCCTGGGCAGATGGGATGGCAGGAGGGGCTGCAGAGCTCTCAGCACCTCAGCCAGAGGGGAGCAGGGCAGCCAGGGAGCTCCTTTGGCCTTGGCCAAGCCCCTTCCCCCATGGCTGGGGCTGAGTCCTGGCTGAGCTGCAGCTGCTGCTGTGCCCTTGGCAGGGGCTGAGGCCGTGGGGCAGTGCCCAGAGCAGCCGGGCCTGAGCAGAGCTGTGGGGCCAGAGCCGGCTGGGCTGTGCTGGGGAGAGGCCCTTGGTGCTGCCCAGAGCTCAGGGCAGCTGGCAGAGCTTGCAGGGAGCTGGGCTGGGCTGGGAGAGCCTGGCACAGAAACCATCAGTGTCCATCTCAGCCTGGCGGAGTGTGCAGGGGCAGGACTCAGCCCAGGCCTTGTGGGGCAGGGCCAGCACCTGGGCAAGGCATTGAAAACAGGCAAGAGCCCGAGAGAGGAGGCTGCTCTGTGCCCTTGGGGCATGGACAGAGCAGGGAGGGGTCCCAGGACATTTGTCACTGCTAGTATCTGTCCCCAGCTGTGCGCAGCCCTGGCTGCTGAGCGCAGGTTTGCCCTGGGCTGAGTTTGGCTGTGGCCCAGCTCCATCCTCCTGCGGGGCTCAGGGCCTGTTCCTGGCCATGGCCAGCCCTGGCCGGCCTCTCTGCTGGCCCAGAGGCCAGCAGAGCCTGGGGCAGGGCTGTCTGTGAAGCCCCACAGGTGCCACGGGCTCTGCAGGAGCTGGCAGAGGCTGCCCAGCAGGGAGGCCATGGGGCACAGAGCCCCAAGGCTGCTGTGGGCACCTAGAAAGTTCTTGAAATGCCCTTGGGAAGGTGTGAATTGTCCCAGCTGATAGCAATTCACTGAGGGTTCTGAGATAATGGGCCTGCAGCTGCCCCTCCCTCTGTCGGTTGGTGTTTCCCAGCTGTTGTTATCTTTATCAGGGTGGTGACTCATCTTGGGATCTGTTTTCCTTCCAGCTGCTGGTCTCCCAGGCATCTGACTCCTCTCAAGATCAATGGCCAAGTCCCTTCTCAGGCACACAGCGGCTCTCCTGGTTCCATGACTCATTCCAGGTTCCTTATCTACATCCTCAGCTGGTTTCTTGAGCAGAAATCTCATTTTAGTGCTGATTTGTTTAGCCATTTTGGTTGTGATGTGTGTTCTGCAATGAGTTTATTGATGGTTTTGTTCCCCTCAAACTGGGCCTCCAATCTTATCAGGAGTTCTTCCTTCTCTTTACTCCACCATCTTCTGTTGGCTTGGAAGTCTGTTTTGGGTGGGAAACGGCGACCCTTTCCTGATTTCTAACCCATGAGTGTGCCAATCTTTTGGGTTGTCTCAGACCAATTTTTGTCTTGAAGTCCCTGCCACATACCTCACAGATCCACTCCCTGGCTGAAGCCATTTCCGCTGTTTCCCTGCATTTAGGAAGGTGACAAACAATGCTGTGATAAGTACTCATCTCTTACCCACATTTAGCACACCGAAAACAAACCCTCCTTTTCCCGTGGGCTACCCTCAGATGTTCAATCAAGCCCAACACACAGTTCACCCAGGAACCACAGGAAGGATACGGTGGATTTTGGTCAGGAACAGTCATGGTAACGATGTCTGCCAGTGTCTGTTCTCTGAGGTTCTCTGTCTGAGCTGGGGATGTCTCTGGTAAGGTGTCCTTGTCCGGCTCAGGAGGTGATGTTTCTGGTGTGCTCTCAATCTCATGCTCACTGTTTCTCTTCTCATCGTCAAGCACAAACAATTCTCAGGTCCTCGGAAGGCAGGTCTTCACTCCCGCACTTGGTCATGGTGCAAGCTGTTGATACACCTCAGGCAGCCTGCTCAAACCCTTCTTGCTTGCGGAAACATGAACACATTCAAAGTTCTTCACTAACAAGTGCAATCTATCAAACTCCAAGTTCACCTGAGTAGCCAATTCACGTTCTGCCAAACTGGGGGATGCTGAGCAATTTTTGCAGGACAATGGACACATTCAGCAGAGGCACAATCCAGTCTTCTGATAACAAAGTAATCAGTTCAAGGACCAAGGACAGTGAATATTTGTAGACAGAAGAAGAGTCAGCAAGAATCAGCAAGTTGTCAGCAAAGTTTGAGAAAGTGGAAACCACCCTTCAGTCCCTCCCAGGCTACTCCTGTTCTGTCCTCAGCCTCCACACCAGTGAGCCCAGAGCCCGCAGCCTCTACCTGCTGGTTATGTGATGAGGCCTCCAAACCCCATCTTGGGAGGTTTTTGGGTCCTCTCAAATGTCTGTGAAAATGGAAAAATAGCGGTCAAAGGTATTTTCTCCCAAATCTTGCAGTGGCAGAACAAAGGTCAATGTCTCTCAATGAGGCTGCATTTACATTTGTTAGAAGGAGGAAATATTTTACAATGATGAGAGTGGAACAAAACTGCAACTGTTTTTTCAGAGAAGTGGATGTGCCTTCCCAGGAATTGTCCAAGAGCAGGAACTTGGTAGAATCTGACATAGTGAAACCCTGTCCCCTCGCCAAGGATGGAATTCCTGTTGCGTGGTGTAGGAACATAAAAAGGTAAAAAAATTTAGAAAGTGGGAAAAGGCCCCAGAAAGTAGACATAAAGCTGAGAAAGGCTGGGAAATTTCAAAACCTTCTCATGGGAAGCTAGGAAAGTAAGAACCAAGTGAATCCATTTATATTTATCATAAGAAACAAGAAAGAACAAGAACTTATTGATAGTTCGATATATGAAAAGTCCTAGCTATATGCTTTGCAAAGATAGAAAAAGTTTAAATCTTATTTAGTGAATTATTGTGTATTGTTTGAAGTTCATAGCAGTCCTTTAGTTAATATTAAACCCATGTGGGTCCTTGTCTTATCAGTAAGAGTATAATGACTTTGCACCTTTTCTTTTATGCTATTGGATCAAAGAATATGTAAAAAAAGGCTTTGCATAAGCTGCCATCTTGTCTTGGATCTGGATTTGCATAGATGTTGTTATTTTCTCTGTGTCTCTTGCTTTTTGCTTGTATGATACAGACAGATAATAAATCCTAAGTCTGCAATCTGTCAGAGTCCCATCCCGCCTGCAGTTTGGGCGCCGCCACAAGCATGGTGGCCGTGGAGAGGGGTAGTCCTGATGGCCCCTGGCCGGCCCGGAGCCGGGGTAGACCTTTGGTCCCCCGCCACCGCACGATGCCTGAGCACCACTGCAGGGCCGGGTACACCTGATAGTCCCGGGCTAGGCCGGAGCCGGGGTAGATCTGTTGTGCCCCACGAACGCTCGCTGCATGGGCGCCGCCCAGAGCCCAGCGGCCCCGTGGCTGGGCATACCTGATGGCCCCGGGCCGGCCCAGGGTCGGGGCAGACCTGTTGTCCCCCGACACTGCCCTGCTGCCCAGGAGCTGCCACGAGCCCGTTGGCCCAGGAGCGCGGTAGACGTGATCACCCTGGGCCGGCCCGGAGACCGGGTAGACCTGTTGTCTCTGCCAAAGCCCACCGCATGGGTGCTGCCCCCTGTCCGGCAGCCCCAGAGAAGGGTAGACCTGATAATCCCAGAATGGTCCGGAGCTGGAGTAGACCTGTTTTCCCCGTGAACGACCGCCACAAAGGCGCTGCCGCGAGCCTGGCTGCCCCGAAGATGGGTAGACGTGATGGTCTCGAGCCAGCCTGGAGCCGGGATAGACCTATTGCCCCCTGCCACCGCTCGCAGCCAGGGTGCTGCAATGAACCCGGCAGCTCCAGAGACAGAGTAGACCTATTGTCCTTGGCCGGACAGACTCAGGCTGCCTGGCATTAGGGTAGATCTGTTGTCCTGGCCACGGCACCTGACGGCCACCTAGCGCCGGGGTAGACTTGTTGTCCTGTGCCCATGCCCACCACAGAGGCACCGCCATGAGTACGCTGTTCCTGGAGCGGGGCAGACCTGATGGCCCCAGGCCAGCCCGGAGCTGGGCTAGACCTGTTGTCCTCGCCAACGCATGACACACGGGTGCCACTCTAAGCCCGGCGGCCCCGGAGCAGGGTAGACCTTATTACCCTGGCCAACCCAAAGCCGGGGTAGACCCGCTATACCCGGCCACCTCACACAGCTCGGGTGCCGCCACAAGCCCGGCAGCCCCGGAGCCTGGTTATACCTGTTGTACAGAGTGAGCCATGAGCCGGGGTAGACCTGCTGTACCTTGCCAACGCCTGCCACATGGACGCTGCCATGAGCACGGTGGCCTTGGAGCCGTGTAGTCCTGATGACCCTGAGCCAGTGCAAAGACAGGGTAGACCTGTTGTCCCCCAACACCGCATCCCATACATGCACCACCCTGAGTCTGGTGGTTCCAGACTCGGGTAGACCTGTTGTCCTGGGCCAGCCCAGAGCAGAGGTTGACTTGTCCCCCATGAACTGCCACATGGCCGCTGCCATGAGACCGGTGGTTCCATGGCTGGGTAGCCCTGTTGTCCTGGGCCAGTATGGAGCTGGGGTTGACCTGTTGTCCCCCATCAACGCCTGCCACTAGGCAACTGCCATGAGCCCGGTGGCTCCCTGGCTGGGTAGACCTGTTGTCCCACGCCATCGCATGCCACCTAGGTGTCGCCCTGAGCCCAGTGGCCACAGAGCCAGGTGGACCTGATGGCCCCTGGCTGGCCCGGAGCCAGAGTAGACTTGTTGTCTGCCACAACCACCCGCAGCCCGGACGCCACACCTAGCCCGGCAGCCGCGGAGCCAGGTAGACCTGATGGCCGCATGCCGGCTCGGAGCTGGGGTATATCTGCTGTCCCCCGCCACCGGCTGCTGCCCAGAGGCCGCTTGGAGCCTGGTGTCCCCGGAGCAGGGAAGGCCTGTTGTTCTGTGCTGGACAGCCTCCGGTTGCTCAGCCCTTGGGTAGACCTGTTGTTCTGGCACCAACATAGCATATGGCCACCCAGCACTGGGGAAGACCTCTTGTCTTACTCCATCGCCCGCCTCCCAGGCGCCACAACTAGCCCTGCGGCCCCGGGAACAGGGTAGACCTGATGACCCCAGGCTGACCCAGAGTCAGGGTAGACCTGTTATCCCCCGTGATAAACTGCCACACACGCGGCACCACGAGTTTGGAGGCCCTAAAGACGTGTAGATGTGATGGGCTCGGGCCGGCCTGGAGTGGGGGTAGACCTATTGCCCCCTGCCACTGCTCGCATCCAGGGCGCTGCAATGAACCGGGCAGCCCCGGAACCAGGGTAGACCTGGCCACAACACCTTACGGTCACTCAGCGTCAGGGTAGACCTGTTGACCCTCGCCACCGCTGGCCTTGAAGGTCCTGCCACGAACCAGGTGACCCCGGAGCTGGGTAGACCTGATAACCCTGGGCCGTCCCAGAGTTGGGGATGACCTGCTGTCACCCGTCACTGCCCATCACATGGGCGCCTCCACGAGCCGGGAGTCCCCAGATCCTGGTAGACCTGATGGCTCCGGAGACGGGTAGACCTGATTGCCCCAGGCTTGCTTGGAGCAAGAGCATACCTGTTGCCCCCTGAAAACGCTTGCCACAAGGGTGCCAACTCAACACCTGTGGCCCTGGAGCCAGGGGAAGCTCACAGCCTCGTTACACCCCAGAGCCGGACAGCTCTATCAGCCCCATCCCAGCCCATAAACCGCCCACTTTCAAGACCAACACAGATTTTTGTATTTTTCTGTGTTGTTTTTAGTTTTTTGGTGTGTTTTTTTGGGGGGCAGGTGAGGTGTAGGGCTTTTGGTTCGGGTTTTCTGGTTTTGTTTTGGATTTTTTGGGTTTTTTTTCTTTGATTTTTGTGGTTTGGTTTGATTTGGTTTGGTTTGGGGTTTTGGGTTTTATTCCAACCCCTTTTTCTTTTCTCCTTTCTTGAAAGAATGGCTCTTCTATTTGCCTGGTATAAGAAACTTACCCGAAAAAGAAATTTTCTTGGCAAATTTTGTTTCGTTTCCTTTAGTGAAACGTAAACTTTAAGGCATTTAGAGATTTTGAGGAGCTAAGAGAAATAAGCCTTACTAGAGTTAATTAAAATAAGAATAATAAATGAGTAGGCCTTGATGAAGTTAGGAGTTAGTAGTTAACTAATAATTAATTGCTTGTCAGCACAATGTTTGGTTAGCTGGGTTTATAATGAAGAATATAGAAACTGATAAATAGCTTTTAGGAACATAAGACAATTGTGGGCCTCCTCTGTTCTGAAACCAATTGAAGACAAGGAATGGGAGTTCTACCAAGAGTTCATTTGTCATACTTGCATTGAAAAGGTAGAAAGGTCAGAACGAGGAAGACTTCATTGACTTCCTCATTTTGGGACCCCTCCCCATGAAAGGGACCACCGACCCATTTCAAGGGACAAACCACGCATGCTTAATAGCTTTTGGAGTGATTAGCATACGAAGCGGGGAATGGGATGTACTAAAATGATGAATATGCATTTGTATTTTGTGTATTCAATACTTGTATGGATAAAAAGACTCTGTAATCACCTGGAAGGTGCGGTGTGTATTTGGGAGCTATCCCGCACGCTGCCCGGCGTCGAATAAACATACACTTTCTAACTTTAAACTGTTAGAGAGTTTTTGTCCGTCACAGTTGGATATCGATACTAGATCAATATCCATATTTTTTTAATAAATCAACACGAACTGCGAGAACCCCGGGCTGGGCCCCGACAGCGCCACGGGCAGCGAACACAGGGACAGGAGAACTGGGGGCACACGGAGATTTGGGGGCTGGGGGGGCACGGGAGAAGGAAAGGGGGAACGGGAGAGCTGGGAACGGGGTTTGGGGGTTCCAGGATTAAGAAAGGGGAAGGCTGGGGTGGGTAGAGGTGGGATGGGCGGGGTTAAGGGGGTTCCTGTATCCAGGGAAAGGAGCTCCACGGCTCCCCGGTGTCCCCATTCCCCGCAAAAGGTGGGAAAACCCGGGCTGGCTGGGAATAGGGGTCCCGGGTGTCCTCGGCGTTGAGGAAAGGAGGGGCTGGGCGCTGGGAAAGGCAGGAATAGGGGTCCAGGGGATCTCTGGGTGAAGGAAAAGGGGGCTCTGGGGGCTGGGAGAGGCGGGATGGCCGGGAAAGGGGTGCGGGGGTTGCTGGTGCCGGATAAGGGGGTGCAGGGTAGAACCCATGCCGGGAATGGGGTGCGGGGGGATGGCGGCGCCCGGGAATGGGGGTTCAGGGCCCCTCGGTGCTCCGGAATGGGCGATCAAAGAGTCCCTCCCGGTGCCGGGGTCCCCCTCGCCTCTCGCCGCCGCCCCGGGGCCCAGGAGCGCCCCCAGCCCCAGCGCTGGAGCCATGGCGCCGCTCCGCTGCGGCCCCGCCCCCAGAGCCGCCTCCGGCCCCGCCATTGGCTCCGCTCTTTGCTGCCCGCCAATGGCAGCCCGAGTCTCTAGTGATGTCATCGGTCGCCGGGCAGATCCCGGCGGCGCAGGGCGGGAAAGGCCTCGCAGCGTTTTTCACAGACAGCGTCCGCACGTCCGTAATTCTTTGCTTTTTATTGTCTTGTAATTGTCCTAACTCTTAAATTTTTATTACTGTAATTGTTAATTTATTACTCTAATTATTAAACTTTTAAAATCTTAAAAACCAAGTGACTGGCGTTTTTCACAGAAAGCACCGAAGTCAGTAGCTCAAGTGCCACTCTCCTTTGAAAATCGCTGCGGCTCGGCCCGGCTCGGCCCGGCCCCGCCCGGCCCCGCCCATCGGGTGCCGTGGGTGCCTGGAAACCGCGAACGCGGCGGCGGCGTCTGTGACGTGCGGCGGTGATGTGCTCGGCACGGCTCAGTAGCCACAGAGCGGCTCCGGGCTGGGTGTGCCAGCCTGGGCTCCTGCAGGCGGCTGCACTGGGCCATTGGCCGAGTGACTGTTCACAGAGCATCGCTCTCTGCAAAGGAGTCCCGAATTTGCAGAGCATTGGTCTCTGCAAAGGAGTCCCGAATTTGCAGAGCATTGGTCTCTGCAAAGGATTCCCGAATTTGCAGAGCATTGGTCTCTGCACCGGATTCCCGAACATGCAGAGCATTGGTCTCTGCTACACAGTCCTGAATTTCCTTTGAAGGTAAAGATTGACTAAAGCTGAACTGTTTGGTTTTGTCTCATCTGTGCTCGGAAAGAGAATGCCAAAGGGAAATGCAGGCTGTGATAATGCCAGTCCTCTGGTGCAGCAGTTCAGCGGCATGGACAGCTGAGTGGATGAATGACATATGGTCTACTGATTGTGCTTTTTTGCACTGAAGAAATGCAACATTTTCTAAATGTACTAGTCTATGCATTTTTTTTTCCCTATAGTGATTGCTTAAACTGCTTAAAGGTGAATGAGTTCTGGTCAAGTTTCAGTGGGTTGTTATCATCTGGTTATTAAAATTATTAGGGAGATGCCTCTGAATTGCCAAAGTCAATAGTCTGGATTTTATTTAACAGTAAATGTGAGGAATAGAGAGAGAAAGAAAAAGTGTCAGGGAGGGTGGGGTTCGGAAGAGGGAGGAGAAAGAGAGTGACAGAGACTGATTAAGTAAAAAATATCAAAATTCCATGGATCCCATCAGCATACCATAAAATCCTCTTCTGGTCTTCTCTGTGGTGAGGTCTCTCTCGCAAAACGTAAGACTCCAGTGGATTAATGCAGATTTGGGCAAGGTGGGACTGCCCAGGTACCTCCCTGGGGCGGGGCAAGTCTGACTCCATCTATTGCTACTTTCAAATAATATCAAATCTTTAGCACCAGTATATCCTTTGAGTCTGCCATGAATTGGGTTCTGGATTTTCAGATCTGTTGTGTTACTTGGCATGGCCTGCAGTCATCTGGTGCAAGGCCTCAGGGATGGGTCTGGGGGCACTTTGGAGGTCTTTGATGGGAGGTTTGTGTGCAAACCTGGCCTCAGCAGATGAGTCTGTGGCTATGAATTCCCTGCCCTGAACCCAGACAGAGCTGATTTTCAGGACAGCTGCTGGGTTTGGCTTTGTTGTGGATAGGTTTTCTCCTCAGCTTTGTTTACTTCTCCCCAGACCTGAGATAAGTGGGCAATAGTGTCACCTTTGTCTTGTTTCAAGTTCCCTTAGGCAGCCTAACTCACAGTCCAAAGTTCCAGTCAGGAGGCGTTTTCAGGGAAGGGTGGGCTTGGGTGGTCACAGCTTCTTTATGCAGTCACAATGGGCAGAAAGTCCTTTATAACAATATTTAAGCCATTAGCCATAACATTGCAGTCTCTCACAAGTCCTGTGCGGAAGAGCTGAGAGAACAGGGCTGGTTTAGCCTAAAGAAGAGGAGATCCACTCAAGCTATTTTTAAGTATTTAATATTTAAGCTACATCTTTGTCTGTTCTAACTATTATTAATGTTCAGATTTTTACCTCCAGGTTTCAGTATGATCCATCTTTGAATTGCACAACATAGCCATATCGTTCGAATCAAGTCCAGCTAGAGGCCTAACAATACTAGCTACTTACACCAAACAAGCATTGAGCTACTTCCAAATACTATAAAATTTTTAGCACCAGTATATGCCTTGAATCTGCCATGAATTGGGTTCTGGATTTTCAGAGTTCCATTGTTGCTCCTTGCAGTTTCATTGAGGCATTGTCGTTTATCTGGGATATCCTCCCTTCAAAATGGATTCCGGATTCCGAGAAAAGATCCTGAAACCCCGTCTGTGGTCGAGGGAAGCGCTGAAGTCTTTCAGTGTAAGTACCCACTGGGGCTGTGTTAAGGCTGGAAACTCCTCTCGTGTCCCTCCTCTCCCTGCCCCTGTTGTCCAGCAGCGCTGTGAAGCTGCAGACGCCCTCCCCACCTCTTTGTGCCGTGCTCCTGTTGGTGGGGGCTGTCCTGGTGCAGTAGGGAACACCGTGTGTTGCCTCAGGGTCTTGCCTGGCTGAGCCAAGTGAAACCAATGTGCAGCTGAAGCTGCGAGCGTGTGTTCTGTCCCGTTCCCTTTGCCACAGCAATTCCTTCTGTCAGGCTGGGCACTCACCTGTGCTGCTCTGACCAACCTGCCCTTGGGCACCTGGGCATGTGGTGGGGCAGGGAAAGCTCAAACTCTGCCCAAAGCCTAGAGAGACATGGCTGGTCCCAGCTGGAAGAGCTTCCAAGCCAGCTGTTCTCTCTCATCTCCTGTGTGGGCGCAGATCCAGCCCTGCAGGCAGCACTGGAGTCAGGCCACAGAGGTCCCTTGGTGTCTGGAGCTCACTGGAGTGAAGATGCCCCACTGCTGAGGCTCTGTCAAGGAGATCCCTCTGTTTTCTTCTGTGGAGGGGTCTGTGAGCCCAGACAGAGAAAACAAATGCTAATTAACAGAGAAAACAAAAACTTGGACACATTCCTGTGCTCCTCATTCTTGGTACAACGTTCCTTTCTTGCGTCTCTTGGACTCCCCCAGCAGCGATATCTCCCTGCTGTGAGTTCTCAGTGTTGTCCATGGATGGAGTTAGGGGAGTTCTGAGAGCTCCTCCCCACTCTCTGAAAAGGTCAATGCCTCAATCCAATGAAACATAAGAGGAAACAAATGCCCAAGGAGCAGAAATCCCCAAAGATGTCACATTACATCACAGAGAAGCTAATGGGACGCAGCCGTGGGATGGGAGTATGTGTATTCCACTCTGTATTATTAATTTATTGGTGCTAAGTATTTCAGCAAGTAACTTCCAGGGCTTCCAGGACTGTCCTAGACTATGTGATCACAAATTGTTCACCAGTGCCACTTGTTCAAGAAAAGCTTTTGTGAACAAGCACATCTCTGAGACTCTAGCTGGTTTATTTTTGCCTTTCAGCTGCTTCCCTCTAAGTCCCTGTGGGAGAAGTTTTTCAACACGAAGAAGAAGGCCAGCACTGCGGAGAATATTGCGCCCAGAACTGGCCCATTTCTAGACATGAGTAAGACCGGTCCAAAGGTAGCCTTTTCCTGCTCTTTTCCTTTTCCACACCTGTTTGATGTGAAGTTTGAAGAGGGTGTGTGCTTGTGACAGGCTTGCCTCCAGCAAAATACCTCAGTGTCCAGGTCCTGTTGTCAGTGCAAACTGCTGGTAGTGGTGGATGGGAGTCCTGATCTGCACTAAGCCAACACAAATAACCTCTGCTGAAGCTGCCTAAGTGTAGCTGCCATTGCTAAAACAATGGGGGGAAGGCTGGGGACACAAAGGCACAAAATTGCCATTTGCCATTCTCCTGATGAAGTAGCCACCTCTTGCTGTGGTGTGGTCGCCATCAAATGCTCGGGGTCACAGGATTCCCTTCCGAGTGGCAGCGCTGGCCTTTGAAGGCCGAGGACCTGCAGTAATTACTTCAGATTGAACAAAACGAATTTCATGAATGCTTTGGGTTGGAACAATGTGTTGGACCCTGACGGGGTGTTAGATTTTGCAGGCTGCCAATGTGCAGGGGACTCGCCCTGGGCAGAGGGGAATGGATGTGCTTTATCTGCATCAGGGCCTACCTAGAGGTGTGTTTAAAGCTGCTTTTCTGGCAGGACTGGCTCAGTATAAAGCACAGTCCAAAGGGGTAGGTGACCGAGGTGGGCTGCTGAGCAGGAAATTGGCAGCAAGAGACGCTGGTTAAGGATTGCCCTGGAGAGGGGCGTTGGGAGCACCTCAGGGAAGGGCACAGCCAAGGGACAGGGTGCTGCAGCCAGTCCCTTCAGCAGGCTGTGTCTCCTGGGGAGTCACACAGGAGGCCTGCTTGTGTCTCTGGAGTGACAGCAGTGTGGCTGGAGAAGGCAGACAAAGGGGAGAGTTTTCTCAAAGCAATGTCTCTGCTCCACAAGCATTTGCTGTTGTTGTGTCAGCCCAGATGTGCCTCTACAATGGTATCATGTAAAATGGCAATAATTACAAGAAAGCACCCATTTAAAGCTCATGGAAAAAGGAGTCACCAACTCTACTTTCACCCAAGTTGCTGAGAAAATAACTGAACCTTTTCCTCATTCAGCACTCATTTGTCTTTTTCCTAACTTCTGTGTTACTTTATTTTTGCTTTTACCTCTGTTTGAAACGCACTAACTTTTAAATACAATTAAAGGGGACAAAATCATCAAAGCAAAAGAAAACTATTTATTGGTAACAAAAGCCAGGGACCTCATAAAACGGGAAAATTGGACAGGACAGAACGCACATCCAACCAATATGATTAATGCAACATTCTCCCCTTATTCGTGATAAGATGGCAGTTTATATACACTCCCATATAGTTTACAGTTTACAAAGGCACTCTGATTGGCAAGCTAACATTGTTTACCTTTGCCTTGAGGTGGTCAGGCTTTGCACACTGCAGCTCTACTCTAATTCATGCTCGGATAGCTCATTACTTTGTAGTTACCTTAACATAATTTCTGACTGCGCCACAACTGAATTCTCACTGCATCAAAGGCTTCGAGGCCCCACCAAGGCCGCTTATCACGGCCTGTCTGAGGGGGTAGCTCAAGTCTCACTCCAGACATAAATCATGCCCTCTCTCTCTCAGAAATTCTGTAACAAGTAAGAATTCAGCTGAGCTGGGCATGTCTCCCTCCCCCCAGAGACGAACAAACACACCCTCTGAGAAAATGGCAATCTTCCTATCTCCTTTGTACCCCGCCAGGGCGGTCCCTGTCCCCTTTCCCCTTGGATGGGTACTCGGGAACTTCCATTCTGTCCAGCTGCCAGCTCTTCTGTCCCCTCCCCTCTCATCCTGCTTCCTTTTGGCCAGCTCTTCAACCCTGTCCCTCTCACAGCAGCACCCAACAAACCAACCTGAACAAATCCAAACCACAAACAACACACAGAACCAGCAAATTCCATTCTTTCGCTAGATAACCTTTTGGCTTCAGCAAAATATCACCTCACCTCTCACACCTCCTCTGGTACTGTTCTCTTCTTACTGATGTCTAAGTTCTAGATAAAAAAGATATTTGCAGTTGTGTGGGCCTTGGTTTCCCTGTCTCAGAGTAAAGGACATCCTAAAATCATTTCCCATAGAGTCTGATGTAAATTTGTGGGTTTTACTTACTCCATGAGTGCTCACTCAGTGCCCCAGAGCTCTGTGACCACACGGGCACAGGGCTGTGCTTAAGGTAAGTGCTGCCTGGCATTGTGGAGAAGGAAACCTGGAGAAATACGTGCCAAAAGAGCAGCTTGGCTTGAGCCTGCTCTGTGTGGCCCAGCAGCTCTTGATCAGCTCAGAGCAGAGGTGGGTGAGCCACTGTTTGCCCAGTGTGGGCTGGGCAGACGTGCTCACCCAGAGCCTGTACTTCACTGGGGATCAGTGTAAGGGATCCTTCATGCCCCTTCCTCCCAGCAGCTGAACCTCTCCCTGCTCTCTCTCGCCTCTCCAGTTGTCGTCAGTTCCCCCGAAGCAGAACTTGCTTCAGATTTCCCCACCAGAGGTGGTGTTTCGGGGCTTTGTCGCTCATGAGGTCTCTGAAATGGTGGTGTCTCTCGTGAATAAGGACAAGGTAAGTGCTGGGGGGTGGAGCTGTAAGAGTGTGCTGGAAGAGGAGAGTGGTGTAATTGCCAGAGTGTACAGCAAAGCAAGTTACCTGCTGCAGCACATCCACAAGAAAATGTCTCAGCACCTTTGTTCTGCAAGATGGTGGAAATCTTCTTGTGCTGGGAATTCTCCCTGATTTTGGCCATGTGTTGATGGTATCTATCCCAAAGGAGTTGCCTTCTCTTGAAAGCTCTGGATTGATAGGAATGTTGAGGGCTGTACAGTTCTTACCTGCTCTCATGCTTTGCCTTGAGTGTATACCACATCCTGTGTTTCCCAGGTTAATCTTGGCTCCTCTGCCTCTCTCAGCCTGTTTGGCTCCCTTTGTGCAGCTCACAGTCAAAGCTCAGGGTCTGAGCCTTCTCCACTTGATGCTGGAATCACTTTTCATTACTGGCACTGGCACTGCAGGAAGTGTGTTCTGAAAGAGCCCTGGGATCAGGCTGATGTAGCAGAAGCAGCAGGAAGCCTTTAGGTGCCACTTTGGGCTCCTGCGAGGCTTCATCCAGCTCTGCTCAGGATTTCCAAAAGCAGCATGGTGCTCTGCTTTCCCTTTGGCGAACCACAGCACATCCAAAGCCATGTGCTCCGGGAGGTTTTTACCTTCACTTGAAATTGTGTTTGTTTTACAGTTTCCCAAGAGAGTTGAGAGGGAAAAAGGTAAAAAATGTCAGCAGTTGTGTTCCACTGTAAAGGGGAAAATGGAGACCATTTGCATTTCAGTCAGGGAAACATTTTCTCAAATGAGCCTTGTGCCAAGAGTGGGCTGGTGGCAAGAGACAGGAGGGAGTCAAAATCATCTACTTTAGACTTCTTGAGAGCATTTTGGTGCTCGGGGGTTGATACCTCTGTGCTAGAAAATGCATGTTTGCTGTGTCTGTGTATCCCAGAGGACAGAACCTGGCCTGCTGGCTGCAGGCAGGAATGCCCAGCAGCCCAGCTTGCCTGCACAGGCAGCAAGAACCCCTGGAGAGCCAAGACTGGCCTTTAATTCTGGAACCACACTGTGAGTCAGTGCTGGTCATGTTTCTCCAGGCAGAAAATGCCTTCGAAGCCCATAGTCAGTAGGCACAGCCTGTCTGTGTTTCTGTCACTTTTGACCAGCTGATTGCTCTCATGGTTTTATGATTCTTCCTCACTGCTTTACTGCCCATTTAAATTCTCTTTGCCATCTCCTTGTTTTAGGGGTTGTCCTGCTGTGTTCCTTTTGCTTTTCAGGTTTGCTTTTATTCCCAGTAAGGCCAAAGTGTTTGGTCTCCTCTCTTGCTGGTCTGCCTGCATGAATGTATCCCCAGAACTGCCCCACCCAAACCTCATCTGCTAGAAGAGAATTTCTTCCTTCCCCCAGGATAATGTGCTGTTTTGCTTTCAGACAGCACATTCCCCCTCTGGAACACGGCTACTGCGTGGCTGTGTGCAGGCAGGAGCCAGCAGGTTTTTTGGTCTGGCTGAATATGCAGATGACTTGGTTCAAGTGCTCTGTCTCCATCCTGCTGGTGATGACCTGCTTGGCCCTTCCTTCCCACCAGGCACTGCCCTACTGCCCCTGGCCAAAATGCTGGACCCAGAAGGGATTTGGGTTCACCTTCAGGAATGACGTGCCTGTGGCTCCACAGCTGAAAGTGCTTTGGCAAAGGGGTCAAGGAGGGATGTCACCAGGGCATGGACAGGTCTCCTCTTGTCCTGTTTCCACGAGTGGCAAAACAATCGTTTCATGTCTTTCCTGCAGTTGCCTGAGGTGGTGAAGATCTCCATGGAGAGCTCGCCTTACTTCCAGCTGGCGTGCTCCAACAACGCATACCGTGTTGTGATGCCGGGTGTGCCTGCCCATGTGCGCATCCGCTTCACCCCTGGCAAGGGCAAGGTGAGACTGGAGGAGCCAAAACAGAATTACCCCCAAAGCCGTTGTTTTCCCTGCTCTCCGTGCAGCCCCATTCCATGCTGTGAGCCTGGCTCCAGGCCGTGGGCAGGCAGCCTGCAGCCAGTCACAGCTTGGCTCATGCTGTCAGGCACTGCGCCCAGGCCTGACAGGCTCTGCTTCCCTCCCTGCACATTCCTGAGCATCCCCGAGGCAAGATGCAGGGGAACAGGGAAAATGACAGAGGGGTGTTGATAGATCTTTGGCCATCTCTAGGTACAGTGGAAGGGATTTCATTGTTATGGAAAACACTAGAGGAACAAGGAGGTCTGAGAGCTTTCCTCCTTCCTGACTGGCAACAGCTTCCCTGCCTCACCCTGGGCTGGAGCAAAGACGGTGCTTTTTCACACCCTCTGTTCTCCAGCCTTGCAGCTGTGCTGTCCCAGAGCACAGCTGACCATGATACAGCTGCAGGGCCAGGGCAGAGGATGTGCTGTGCCCGTGAGCCCGGCCTGGCACGGGCACACTGGGCTCTAGGTGCCCTTAGCCAGCAGGAGGTTGGTGAGCTGCAGGGGACTTGGCCACCTGCCTGAAAGAGCTCGTGTAGGGCAGGCACGACCTGCAGGCAGAGCTGTGACTCCACAGCAGTGACACTGCTGTGCCTCTGCCTTCATGCCTGTCACTGTGGTGGCTCTGTCAGCTGGCACCCATTCCATGCCAAACCTGCTTTTTTGGGGAGGTTTGAACACCGGTGCTGGGGCCCTGGCAAGTCGGATCTCAGTGCTGTGATTTGGAGGCTTGTTCATACAGAAGGGTTTGGGACGTGGCATGGAAGGGGGAAGCCTTGCCGGCAAACAAAGGGAGGCTCTTTCCAACAGCATGCTGCCACCTCTTAGCGCTGTTCTTCTCCTGACTTGGTTGGACAGGCAAAGTTAGAGGGCAGGTCTGAGCCAACCCATGCTTCTGCACCAGGCCAGAGGTGCAGGAGCTCTTTGGGTGCAGCTGGTTTCTCATCTTCTTTTTGCTGCTTAGAGTCAGTTTAACACTTTGTTCTCTTCTCAGACAGTGGGAATACAGAAACCTAAAGAGGAATGTCCTGTGTTCCTCAGCTCCTTAGAAGGGACTTAGGAATTATTTAGCATCATTAAAATTTAGAGTAGAAATTATGGTGGCCTAAGGCAGTTCTTTGGATGACCCAAGTGACACAAGAGCTTAATGCCACTGAGATAGGTTTTGCAAAGCGTACTGGTGCCCTTAAAATGTGACATATTAGTAGAACTTAGCATTCATTTTAGGGTGGAATAGGTAAATCGATGCCCTTGAAGGGTTATAGGAAATGGTTTTTCTTCTGCCATGGGGATGGCACTAAATGTCCTGTGCTGAGCTAGGTTCCTTTCCTGCAGGATTATTCCCACAAGCTCATCTGCACCACTGCAAGGGAAAGGATAGTCGTGCCAATTCAGGCCATTGGTGCCCCAGCTATCCTGGAGTTCCCTGACCAGCTGGACTTCTCGGAGTGTCCGGTCAAGCAGAGCAGCCAGAAGACTCTGCTGGTTCGTAATGTCAGTAAGCGGGCAGCTCGTTACCAGCTGAGCACCCAGAGGTGAGGCTCTGTCCTTGTGCAAAACCCCTTTGGGTGGTACCAGGGCCGGGAATGAACAACAGAAGGAGCCAGAGCATTGCAGCTGCTGCCCTCTCTTTGTGTTGCAGTCCTTTCTCCGTGGTTCCAGCCACGGGAACTGTGGGCGCTGGTGACACCGTGCAGGTGACAGTGGGATTCCACGCGCTGATGACCGGTGACTATTCGGGGTCTCTGTGCTGCAACACAGGTGAGTGCTGGGCCCTGCACGGGCACAGGACAGTTCTGCACCATGGCTCCCTGTTGTCCCATCCCCCTCCATTCCCTCTAGAGGTCCCTCCCCTGTTCAGCTTTACCCCAAAGAAAACAGAGAACTCCTTGGTGTTTAGGGGGTTGAGAAAGTGGATCCCCTCTAACGGGACTAAGATTTTTGGACTCCCGTTTTGCTGGGAGTTGCTGAGTGGAGGAAGGAGGATCCCTGATTCTCCACTACCGTGTGGCTATGCCTGGGTGAAGTTTTGTTTTATTCCTGGGCAGTGCTGTATGTGAGGTGTGAGGTTTCCATCAGACTCTCTCCAATGCAATGTGTTTCTTGCACACCTCTGTCCCGTATGCTGCTTCTCCACTGGCTTGTCACAGACCCTTTTTCTATACTGCCCTTACACATATATTAGTTTCTGTCTGATAACATTTCCAGGCCCTCGAGTTCCTGTTTGGTGACAAATCAAGACAAATTTTTCCTCGTCCCCATTTCCCAGGCCATTCATGCTGTTGCAAACCTCTCACATCTATCTCCCATGTGATTTCTAGACTGAGGAATCCCAGTCAGTCTTCATCTAGAAGCTGCTCTGTACTTATTAATCTTCCCTTTGTCCCTTTTTTATTTAATCTGAAATGCTCCAGCTTGGTTTTTGAGATCAGAACAATATAAAATATTTCAAGACTGATGCGGCTGTGGGTTTGGGCAGGGAGATGATGATGATTTTCACGGTGTTCATTTTGTAGTGGTTTGTCATATTGCAGAGCCAGGCTGGTTGTGTTTCCTCACCTGTGTCCCCTCGTGCTGTGGGCTGTCACTTCACTTGTTCCTCTGGGCCTCCTTTTGCTGCCCACATGCCCCCAGGCAAATTTGCTTGTCAGCAACAAGGGATCCAAGGGATCAGGAGAGACAGGAGTCCCGTGGGATGCCCAGGGAGAGCCTGGGCAAGCCAGGACTGAACAGGGCTCCTCAGTGTCACCTGAAGGACATTGATGCAGAAATCCCGGGGATCTGAGTGGGTCACCAGAGCACATCTGACAAATCTCACTGCACATACTGTCACCCTGGGGCCAAATCTGCACAAACACTCTCAGAAATAAGGTGTTTAAGGAGGTGCCCAGGACATCCTCATGCTGTACACACAGAGCTGTCAGGATGTGATAAATGGACTGATCCATGGAGCTGCTGACTCAGCTGAAAACTGTGACACTTTCTTCTGTGACCTGTGGTTTGCTTCCATCAGCCAGCTGTTCCTCGTGCTTCCATCAGCCAGTGAGCTGAGCAAAGACTCCCCCTTGCTTTGTTCCAGGTGAAGAAAGTAGCCTCACAGAGCTCCACGCAGAAGCTGTAGAGCTCAACATTGGGTTGAGCACAAATTTCGTGGCGGTTGAGACGACGTTCATCTCCATGTCAAACCACAAAACCATGTTCATTGAGAACAGGAGTAACGTCACGGCCCACTTCCAGTGGAAGGCTTTTCCTACCGAGGAAGGAGAGAATCGAGAGAAGAGGAGGTTGGTCTGACATTTCATATCTCATTTCAGTGAGATACATGGCCCAAGACTAAAACTGACGTGTGGCCTCAGGGGGTGTTGGTGCTTTTGAATGGTTTGGGCCAAGTAAACCATGCCTGGCACTAGGGTGTGTGTCCCTGCTGGCTTCAGGAGCTCAGCACTGAGCATTCCAGTTCCACTTAAACTCCAACCAAGGGTGGCATTTTGGGAAGGAAAGGTTGGTTGCAATGACTGGATTTCCTCAAGTTCTCCTTGGGCTTTTGCCTCTCTAATCTTCTTCTTACATGACCTGGCAACATCCTTAAACAGCTCACCCTCTTTCCAAAGGTGCTACACCCTCTTTTTTTCCCTTAGTTCCTTCAGAAGGTCCCTGCCCATCCAGGCTGGTTGTCTTCCCTGCCAGCTTGTCTTTCAGCACACAAGGACAGTCTGCTCCTGTGCCTTCAAGACTTCTTTCTAGAAGTGTGTCCATCCTTCCTGGACCCCTTTGTTTTTAAGGGCTGTTTCCCAGGGTTCTTGCCAAATCAGCCTCTTGAACAGGCCAAATCTGCCCTCCAGAAGTCCAGAGTGAAAGTTTTGTCCATGCCCCTCCTTGTTTCACTGAATATTGAGAACTCTTCTTATTTCACAGTCACTGTACCCCAGACAGTGGTGAAGAGATGAAGTTCATTTAGTTATTAGGGAATTTCCTGGTGATATCCTGTACCTGGGCCCCAGCGAGGCACAGACTTCCCTGTGGAATGGATCCAGTCAATCTACAGGGCCCTCAGCTCCCCTTAGAAGGGAGTCACCTACTACCACTACCCACTACCCTTCTTTTCTTAATTCTTGAGGCTGTGATCTGTCTGACAGACCAAGTGCAGCTGGGAGACTCTCCAGGCAGAATTTTTTCTTTCGTGTCATCTGCCTGACCCTCTGGAGTCAGGCCTCATACCTGTTCTGTCAGGACACCTGGGAAGGTGATGGGAGTCAGGATGGAATTTTATTGCCTCCCCAGGAGAGACCCATTTCCATTCCCCACTGTGTCCTAGGTCTCCTCCTTCTGCCTGATCCCAAGAAGGGCAGAGCTCCTCTGACTCCTGCTCAGCTTCTCTCAGGGTTGGAGGGGTGTAACTCCACCAGTTTATTTCTGTGTCACTCTCCCTAATGCTCCTCAGCCTTTCCACTTCTTCCTTAAGCTCTGCCACTGGGCAGAGCAGATCCTTCAGCTGCTCACACCACACGCAGGTGTCTTCTGCACTTCCTCTGCCATTAACACCAGGCTCAGACCCTCCCTGCAGCCAGGGGCCTGGGCAGCTGTGCCCTTCCTGAGGGGGTCTCTTTGAGTTAGTGCACTCCTGCTAGCAGCAGCAGCAATGGCTTTTCAGCATTTCTAAACCATCGCTGGGGAAAAACCCAAAAACATAAAGAAGAAAGAAAAAAAAAAAAAGGCAAGCACCTCACAACCAGCAAAAAGACACAACCCTCTGCACAAGGAAGGTGGGTGGCTGCACCTTTTGTGCTCAGGCTGCTTGTGCGAGCTGCCACGCAAAAACTGAAAAAACACCAGGCCAAAACTGCCGGGCCAAAACTGCCGGGCCAAAACTGCCGGGCCAAAACTGCTGAGCCAAAACTGCCGGGCCAAAACTGCTGAGCCAAAACTGCTGAACCAAAACTGCTGAGCCAAAACTGCTGAGCCAAAACTGCCGGGCCAAAACTGCTGGGCCAAAACTGCTGGGCCAAAACTGCCGGGCCAAAACTGCTGGGCCAAAACTGCTGAGCCAAAACTGCTGGGCCAAAACTGCTGAGCCAAAACTGCTGAGCCAAAACTGCCGTGGCAAGCCCCTGGTTGCTGAGGGCCAGGTCGCTTGCAGTCCCCAGAGTAATTTTAAATTGCCTGCAAAGGACCAGGAGATTGACCCTTGCCCACCTGAATGACTAGTGCCCTGGGCTTCTTGGTTTTCCACTGTTCTCCATCTCCTTACTCAGCATCTGACTTCCATACAAGCTCTGTGTGTTAACAAAAACCCCATGACCTTCTCTGGCTACTTCCCTGGGCTCTTTATTTCCATTTCTTCCCCACTTCCCTGCCTCAGCCTGGACCCCAGGTGATCTGCTTTGCCCTCAGAAGCAACTAGGTTTCCCCAAAGTAAACTTCAACCTGGTTGCGGTTTTGTGGGTTTTTTCCAATTACATTTGTTTTCATGCCAGTTTGTGTCCTAGACTGCCACCAGGACATTTTGTTCTTCCTTACTTCCAGTCTTAGGCATGGTTGTAGCTCCAAGGCCACTGTCCTGCTGTCAGAGCAGCTTTTGAGATCTCAGAGCTGAGAGGACTTTTTAATGAGAGGACACAGTGCAGGATCCTTTCCCTCTCAGGACATTCTACTACCATGCACTGGGATGGGACCCAAAAAGCTCTGGGTCATGAAAAGGCCTCTCCAGGAGTTTGCTGTCTCCCTCCTGCACAACAAAGTCCCCTCACCTCTCAGAGCTTCTGTTTTCATGCATAAAACCTTGAATGTCACTGAAGGGGTGCGGTGCCTGAATTTATCAATTTCCTTTGGAAGTGCTGTGGGATGCTCTTGTGAAAGGCAGAGTAGGGATCAGGGCAGGTCCAAAATGGCAGAAACAAAGAGTGATGCTGGTAACACGTAGCTGCAGCCCAGCTTCGTCTCCCCTTCCCAGGGAAGTCCTGCTCCATGATCTTTATCTGCCTCCCCTGAGCAGCTCAGTGGTAGGAAAATCCACTTGAAGTGCCTGGTCGGTTCTCCCTCAGTTTTGGCAGAGGCTTTGAGCCAGGAAGTTCTCTCTGGCTTTGGAAACATCTCCTGAGCTTGCAGGTGTGGAGTAAAACGACCTGCTGTGCCAGTGAACAGCAAGTTATCCTCTGATCCATGTGGGACCCCATGGCCTGGGGTCAGCCCTTGCTGGGGAGCTGCTGCTGCTCCTCCCCAGGTGCTTTGCCCTCCTGCACTCACACTTCCCTCTGCAAATATGTGGCTTATTAAACGATCTGCTGGCCTTGTCTCTCCTGTGGCTGCAGGCAGTGTCGTTTTCTGCGGCCGTGGTCAGAGAAGTCGCAGGAAAACTTAACGGAGGAGGAAACATCAGAGTCAGAGATGGGCTCTTGTGAAGATCACACTGCCCGCCTGAGCAACACGGTCCTGGCGGAGATAGCAAAGGTGCAACAAGACCCCATGCTGTTCTCCGATGACATTTTTTTCATTGAGCCAGTGGTAAGTGATAGCTGAGAACCTCATTTTCCTCCTTCCCCTCTTCCTCTTCCTCCTCCTCCTCCTCCCCCTCTCCCTCCTCCCACCGGGATGCGGTCACTGGCAGATCCTCAGCTGGCCCGATGTGCTGGGAGGGAGGACATGGAGTTTTGGTGCAGCTGCAGAGCTCCCTGCTGGAAGCATTTCTGCCCTGCAGGCTCAGGGCAGGGCTGGGAGCCTGACAAAGCCGAGCTCTGCTGCCAGGGCTCGAGCTCAAGGGCGCTCTGTGCTGTCCTGCAGTGTCCACAGGGAGCAGTTCTTGTAGGCAGGGGCTCAGCAGAGGGTGTTGGAGCTCTGCCAGTTCACATAGTGACCTCAAGCTTGCCATGGTTAATCATAGAAATGCCCATCCCCACCTGTAACCACGCCTTGCACTATTTCTGAGTGTCCCTTCCAGTGTCCTCTGAGAGCTTGGACACAAGGGTGGAAGGTTGAAATGGGCCTTTTGAGTTCTCCTGCACACAGGGACAGAAACCCTTTTCCTTTTCTGTTTGTGCAAGCAAACCCCCACATCCTCCCATCAGCCAGAGCCCTGGTTCTGAGTACTGAAGATGTGAGAGATGATGAGTGCCTGGTGTCTGCACAGTGCAAAATCCCTTCTCATCTTGGAGTAAACCCCAGAATAATCCCCACTGCTGCTTTCTTTCAACACAGGTTAAATTAATATTTTTATTTCCAAGGAAGGGGATCATGTTCTCTTCTTGTGAGAGCCATGAGTGCACAGTGGCAGTTGCATCCCGCTGTAGCTGACAGCAGCATGATGTGACCAAGGGCTTGTGTCAGAGCAGTAGGAACATTGTGGAGAGTGGGAGCTGATCAGCTGAGCACTGAGAGCTTCCAGCAGTGTGCTGAGCTGGGTTTGGAGTGTTTCCTTGGGCTCCTTGTGTTGTTCACTCATCACTATGCTCTAAACTAAGGCTTGCAGGACTGTGGTTGAAAGCAAGAAATGTGAAGTTTGAAGATAAATGTTTTGCTGTCTCTTTCTGTTTTAGGAGGGAGAAATTGGGCCGAATAGTTCGGCTGAAATCAAGGTGACCTTCAAACCCACAGAGGCACTGGAGTACCGAAGTGTGGCTTACTGCAACATCTCAGGTCCAGCTCCTTTCCCCTGCTTCTCTCAGCCTCAGTGCAGCCATGGTGCAAGCCTGAGCCCACTGGGCTCCCCTGTAACTGCTGGGAAGAGTCCCTGGCCAGCAGGGCAGTGCTGGCACATCCCCACTGGCCCTGCAGCTTCCAGGGAGTCTCCTGTGCAAGGCCAGGGCTCAGAATCCTGTGTCTGGGCTCCTGAACCCAGAACAATCCAGGCAGTGCAGGGAGAGGTTTTCCTGCCATGGCTTTGCCAGCATTTCCTCAAAGGCCAAAGAGCTGCAGAGCACAACAGCTTTAGTGAACAAGCACTGAACCCTCTAGGCCACTGACCTCCAGGATGGGTCCATTTGACACAGATCCATCATCAGGGGGTAGGAGCTGAGTTAGAAATGGGCTCCGTGACCCTGGATCACTCCCACTGCCCAGACACCACCAGACCAGAGTGGCTGAGCCCCGCTGAGCCCAGGGTGTTTGTAGAAGGAGCACCCTTGGCCAGCACCTGCCTCTGTCCCTGTGTGGGAATTGTCACCTTGCAGCTCAGTCTGTGGAAGGAGAACACAATGCTGAGTGCCAGAAGTTGAGGATTTTGGCAACAAAGCCGTGTGCTACTGGGCCAGGTAGTTTGGCAATTGCCAAACTCTGTATGAGCTTTGTGCCTGCACTGAATGGATTTCAGAGCTCCTCTAAGTGCATGGGAAGGACACCACAGAATTATAGGAAGGTCAGGATGGAATGGACCTTAAAGGCCTCTGGGCAGGGACACCTCCCACTAGATCAGGGAGCTCCAAGCCCATCCAGCCTGGCTTTGAACACTTTCAGGGCTGGAACCTCCACAACGCCCCTGGGGAACCTGCTCCAGTGTCTCACCACCCTCACAGTAAAAAATTCCTTCCTAATATGGAACCTAAATTTCCTTTCTTTCAATTTATACCCGTTACTGCTTGGCCTGCCACTACAGGACATCAGAGGTGTTTGAAACTCAGCAGACTGGTGGCTAAGATTGGAAACCAGCCCAAGGAATGGGTTAGAAATTGCAAGTCAGCCCCAAGGGATATCTCCTGAGGGAACAGAAGGGTCCATATCTTCTCCTGCAGCATCAGGAGCTGGTGGCATCCAGCTCAGAGTCAGGGACTCTCACTGAGGCAGCCTGGAAACTGCAGTGTAACAGAGGGAATTATTGTACTGAAATGGACATCTCTCCCCAGGCTGTGAGAGCAGGCTGCCCCTGCGCCTCAGAGGGCACGGCAAAGGACCCCTGGTTGAACTGAACTGTCGCACACTGAACCTTGGGAACGTTTCTGTCAACACCCCCCACGTTCGTGAGGTGAGCAGCAGGACTTGGGATGGATCCTGATGGCTCCTGAGGCAGCAGCAAGCCTGGTGGTGACTTACTAAAATATGAATATCGATCTAATATCGATATCCAACTGAGATGGACAAAAATTCTCCAACAGTGTAAAGTTAGAAAGTGCATGTTTATTGCATCATTAGACAATAACTCATGAGAAGGGAAGATTCCACATGTATTTGCATTTTGCTTTCTTGCTGCTGCAGGTGCAGCTGGTTAACCTAGGAGCTATTGATGCTCCCTTCACCTATATCTCCTCAAATGCAAACGTGGGCTTCTGCTTCAAGTTTGCACCCAAGGAAGGCATCATTGCACCAGGCGGGACCCAGACGATCCAGGTCTCCTTCGGTGCCACCGTGCTGGGGACATTTGAGGAAGAATTCCAGTTCAGTGTGGCTGGATCTCCTAGGCCTGCAATCCTGACTATCAAGTAAGGACTGTGGGAGCTTGGTGGGCACATCTGTGGCTGTCTCTGGGACATCTCCCTCATTTTGGGGCTGAGCAGAGAAAAAAGGTTTTTCCTGAGGTTTTGATCTCTGCTTTGATCCTGGAATTGCCTTAGTGTGAGGATGCCTCCTGGCCTGTGTGGGTACCTGGGAGCTGGCACCATCCTCCCTGTAGGGATCTCCCTCTGCCTTGGGCCATGGCAGGCAGTGGGATGGATCAGCTTTGGGCAGTAGCTGCTCTGGGATGTCCCCCTGAACAGCCAGCAAGGCCCCCAGGGCTTTGGAGGTGGGCCAGCCTGGGTGATTCTGCACCAGCAGCAGTGTTTGTAAAAATTCCCATTAATAATCCATCCCAGATGGGCAGCAGCAGCCTCACCTCACCTCTCACAGCCATGCTGTGGGGCACGAGCCGTGCTCTCAGCTCCTGTGCAGAGAGTGCCCTGGGAGCTCCTTTCCACAGCCAGGAGAGGGCTGATGTGGGACACAGGGAAGTGTGCAGCAGGAACTGTCCCAAGGACAGGGGTGTCATCCCGTGGGCTGGTGCCATGGCAAGAGAGAATCCTGGCCCAGCAGAAGGGAGAAGGGCTGAAAACAGGGGAGGCAGAGCTCATTCCTCAGCACCGCAGCAGCATGAGGGCTTGTCCCTGCTAGCCTGAGCCATGTGCTGCTAGGATCGTGTAGGGTCAGCAGGAGAGCTGATGCTGGCTGCTCTGGAGCTGTGGAGCTGGGAGCTGCTGTTGGGAGGCACTGGGTCAAGGCAGTGAAGGAATGAAAGCAAACTGCAGTCGATTATACCAATGAGATAAGGGAGATGGGTTAAAAAGAACAAGAAAGTTACTACTTAGCAAGAGAAAAGTTGTGAGTAGGTCTGCCCATAGTAGAGAAACAAGTATGCTGGCTTTGTTTTTAGAGGAAAAGTGCTGTTTTTTTACTTTGGAAATCAAGAGGGAACATTTCACCATCAAATAATTGTTTCTGCTCTGTCCCTCCCCCGAACTGCTCATGGGATGTTATTGCATAAGCAGCTTTGTCCTTGAGCAAGGGCAGGTGTCTCTTGTTGGGAGGTGTAGAGCAGAGCCAGTGGCAGTCCTGGGAATACAACAGAAGGCACAGCTGGTCCTTGATTTTTAACCAAAGGGCAGAGTGGGCATCGATTGGCATCAGCCATGAAATAAACTCATGATGTTGTGCAGCTTCAAGTGCTGATTTCAGTGGATGTTGTGGCTTTTGGAGCCTGTCTGCTGAGTTTAAGGACAGGTGAGGTGGTGTGCTAGATTCAGGACACCCCTGTTTGGTTGTTTAAGCTATTGCTCTTGGCTGTGCCAGCTGGTGCACTGGTGACAAGCTGGTCCTTTCCTCCAGGATTCATCTGTCCACTGTGTAGAACTGTTGCTGCTCTTTTCAGAGGGTGTTTGGGGCTCCCTTGGCTTCATGTCTCAAAACTCTGTAATGATTGTGTGGGTCAAAATCTCCTGAGAAAGCTCCTCCATGGGAGCAGCAGTTGCAGCTAGGGAGTAGCAAAGCAGGAAAGGTTACAGAAGTTTGTGGGGACACCTTTATGTCCATCACGTTACAGATGGGGAAACTGAGGCACAGAGCCATGTCTGGGTGTGTGTTCAGGGTCCTTCATGGGACCACCAACAACCAGGGGGCTTTTCCTGCCTGCCCTGTGCCCAAAGCCCCATCAGTGGCTGTTGGCCGCTGGCCACTTGGCTTTAGCTGCCTCCTGTCCGCAGGGGCACTGTGCTGAGCACGTGGCGGGTGTTGATTTCAAACCTGCCCTGACACCAGGTTTTACACCCCCGAGCCACGACAGCCAGACCTCTGCTTTAATTCCCTTTAACCAAGCCATCTCCTCCTCTGTCCTCGCCACGGCAGGGGCAGTGTCACCGGACCGACTTCACTCTCGGACACCATTAAGCTCAACTTGGAGGACATCTCCTCTGGTGAGTGTTCCCTGGGCTGGGACACAGCGTGGGGGATCTGTGCCTTCCAAAACGGAGCACTGGAACATAAAAGCATCCCTCAGTCATGGTCTGCCACAGCAGCCTCTTCAGGGTGTGAACTCCAGGGCTGCCGGGTGTGAGATTGAATAGAACCAATAGAATAGAAAGACAGTATTTTTGCCACTGTGAGATCAAATAGAACCAAGGAAAAAAAAGTCAGTATTTTCTGGTGTCCCTGTCCTGGTTTAAAAGGCAGATGTCTGCCAAGGGAGGCGGGAATCTTCCTGGAATGGAAAGATGACCCCTTCCCTCCAAATTATTATACCTTTGAAATTACGGGGCTTCCAGGCAAAAATATGGGAAAGGGAATAACAATTCTTTACTGGAATATATCAGCACAAACAACAACACAGTAACAGAAGTTTCCACGGGAGGGAGGGAGGGAGGGAGGGAGGGAGGGAGGAAGGGAGGAAGGGAGGAAGGAAGGAAGGAAGGAAGGAAGGAAGGAAGGAAGGAAGGAAGGAAGGAAGGAAGGAAGGAAGGAAGGAAGGAAGGAAGGAAGGAAGGAAGGAAAGGAAGGAAGGAAGGAAGGAAGGAAGGAAGGAAGGAAGGAAGGAAGGAAGGAAGCTTTCTTGAGCTGCTTCTTCCCCACCCTTATCACTGCTGAGGCACTTGTTAAGTTGCCTTTTGAATAAATGAAACAAGAAAGGCAACAGTAATCACAGTGACCAGAATGGGTGTGAACTCATGTCACTCACTGTTTATGTATTTTGAATACAATGGGAGTGTTGGCAGACTTAACAGGGAATTTTGCAGCTTGAATTTTCAGAGTAAATGCTCGGTCTGGGTGCACACTCGTCCCTGAGAGATAACTGGTGCTGGTTTGAGGCGGGCGAGGGAGCTCCTCCCCATCAGAGAGAGAGAAGCTTGCAGTGTTCAGCAGGGCTAGGAGTGGGCATTTTCAAGGCTGCAGTCTGGAATCAGTGTCAAAGGGAACTAAGTGACAATTAATTCCTCGTGCAGCTTCTCAGTGAGCTGTAGTTCAAATAATAAAGAACTAAACTCCAATCACACTTTCATCCTACCAGGATATTCACACCAGGAGTCATGCCATGATTGGTGCCTAAATGGACATTTGTGTCCTTTTCCTAGGCTCTCCCAACACCAAGACCTGTTGCCTCACTGACACCTCCCCGGTGTTCCATGACGGCCTTTGGAGAAAAAACTGCTTCCCAAACCTGCAAATCCAGCCCAGCACGCTGGAGTTCGTGGGTGGCACTGAAGAAGTGCGCTCTCTGGAGATGACCAACTGCAGCCCTCTTCTCGCCAAGTACCACTGGTCACTCTGTTCGGACAGCCAGGCGGACAAGCTGGGGTATGTGCACCTTTGCCCTCTCCTTGGAGCTCTTCTTCCTGGTGCCCTGTTTGTACTTGGCAGAGAACAAAGCTGTTGGCCTAGGATCTGACAGACTGCTTCTGGCTTTCCTTGTTCAAATAACACTGACCAGCTGTGGTCAGCCTGGATGCTCCGAGAAAAGGTTTTCCACCAATTTGGTGCTGCCTAGCCCCCATAGGGGTTTCCCCTGGGAAGGAAAGCTGGGGTGAAAGCTGCTTTCTCAGACCTCTGTGGCCTGAGGCAATGTCACCTTGATGAAGGGCTCCTAGTGCCAGCTGCACAGTGCTGCTGGAGCCCCTTCTGGCCCCTCTGCTTTGGGATGGGTCCTCTCTGCAGGAGCTGCTCTCTGCTCCTTGCCTTCCTCCCTTGTACTGTGCTGCAGGATGCCCAGAAAGTCCCAACACCAGAGAAAAGCTACCTGGTGCCTGGGCTGATGCTGAATGTCTGTTAGCTTCCCTTTTCTTCTTTGCTGAGACAACTCCTTTAGTGCCAGGATGATTTCCCTCCCAGGGGTCAGCTTTCAGCAGACACCTTGGATCTTCACTCCCTTTTTTTGTGACCCGTTACTCGTTTTGACTTTTCCCCTGCAACATGTCCCTGGTGGGTTTTGTCCTGTTTGACAGCAGGACTTGCTCATCACATCATCTCATATCCCTGCCTCCCTCAGAGTTTCTGCTTTAGAGTGAAAAATGTCGTTGTCTGGGCAACTGGGAAGTTGCTTCAAACCATTCATGAAAACTAAAGACAGTGGAATAGATGATTAGGGATCTTTTGGGGGTTATGACGAGACTGCCCCTCACCCAGAAATTAAACCCAGCCTTAGGTAGCAAGCTACAAAGCTAAAGGCAGTGATTCCTTGGGGAGCAGGTCATTACAGGCCCTGAATGCCTGTCTGGGGATGGAGCATCCAGGTCGTGTTTGACTGTGTGGGGAGCACTTGCAGCTCAGCAGGGTGACAGGCAGGCACGGCTCGACTGTGTCCCTCGCGTGGCATTAGAAACACAAGCAGAGTTACCCTAGGCACCTGCTTCAATTTAAAATGGGGAATGTGACCTGAGTCACCTGGGAGTGTTGGAAAATATCAACCAACCCCCCCCAACACTGTCAGGGAATCATTCCTGATAAATACCTGGTGGAGCTGCAGAGGTTCTGGCACTGGGCACTGGGGTTTGCTGGGCTGGCTCCTCACTGGCCGGGTCTGCCCCTCGGTGCCTCAAACCCCACCTTTCTGCTTGCCTTCTGTGTCTTTCCCTCTCCCACTTCTTGCATCCCCACAAGCTGTTAATCCCTGTCCTCTGTAGGTGCTCAATGCAAGCAGTTGCAGCTGCTGCACTGCTGCTGCCTGGGCGTCATCCCTGGGCTGCCTTTAGAACAGACCTGCTCCAGCCTGGATTGGGAAGGGCTGGATCAGACCATTTCTCAGTTCAGCACTCCAGCACCCACCCAGGGGCTGCATCCTGAGCAGGAGCTGCTCGTGCAGGTGTCCCTCCCTCCTCCCTCCCACTGCAGGTCCCTGTTCACATTTCTGTTGTTTTCCAGGTATAAGCTTAACCCACCTAAATTCAAACCCACACCACCAAAGGAGCAAAGAACCTCCCGTCTGGATTGCTCAGCATACAGAAGGAGATTCAGAATTAGAAAGGAGGAGGTAGACAGTGCCCTGAAAGAAGCATGGGATTTTGCCCAATCTTTAGGAACAGAGGTAGATTGTTTTTGTACACACACTGCTTGTGTTGTCTCCCCAGCTTGCCACTGACAAGTCACGCTCGTGCTGACCTCCCTTTGCTGCCCTGCTGTCCTGTGCCCCTGTGGGTTGGGCAGCTGGGCCCGTGGCTGGGTATGGGGTGCGTGGGAGGGAGAAACAGGAGAGTTTTCCTTGGAGAAGCTCACTCAGATCCTACAGACCTGTGCTGAGTGTGGGATTTTTGTGCCTGGTTTTCCTCACAATGTAATATGAGACTTTTATCTGCATCATCATGGTAAGACCTCCAGCTTCCTTCCCAGAGCAAGCTGTGATGAGTCCTGATCTCCATGTACCCTTTTCCCAGCCCAGCCAGACTACCTGTTTCCAGGTGTCTGCTCTCACCCGAGAGCTGGTATTGCACTGGTGGCCCTGAAGTTATCTTACAAACTGAGATTTTGCAAAGTGGCTGTCTCTTCCTCCTGGCATAGAAAATGGCTTGTTTTTCAGGTGCCACCACAAACTCCTGGACCCCCTCACCTGCCACTGGAGCTGGCAGGAATCACGGTCCTCTCGTGGATGCACCTCACACTCCCTCGAAGCGGAGGAGGTAAGAGGGAATCTGTCTCACTTGCCCATTGCCAGCGTGGCAAGCAGGGCTGTAGCTCCCAGTCCCCACTGTGGCCCCC